ATCAATTAAAACAAGTGCCGGTACTCATCAATTAAAACAAGTGCCGGTACTCATTAATTAAAACAGGGGCCGGTACTTATCAATTAAAAAAGGTGCCGGTACTTATCAATTAAAACAGGTGCCGGTACTTATCACCTAAAACAGGTGCCGGTACTCATCAGCTAAAACAGGTACCGGTACTGGTCAATTGAAACAGCTAACTCAAACAAGTCTGACAAAGAATAGACAGGGAAGCGAAGAGGCAGACAAATAAAGAAACGAAAGAAGATGCACAAAGTCATGCAGACAAAAATACTAGCAATCAGACAGACAATGAGCCAAACGAACGGACGTACCGACTGACGAATGGATAACGTAGGGAATTAGCATCAATGACAATAAATGTATAACTATTTTCTTCTTCCTCCAGTGACAACTGCAGCATATATTTCAAGTAACTCCGTAACCAAGCACTGCGGCTGTTGTTAGAGACGCCAGAACTAACCTCTCTTGTGGCAAGCGGTACCTCTACACATTGCACAGAATCATGACTTCACTGGCAGTGGTCGTCTCTTTGTTGCTCTGTAAGTTTTATCTATCTATCTATCTATCTATCTATCTATCTATCTATCTATCTATCTATCTATCTATCTATCTATCTATCTATCTATCTATCTATCTATCTATCTATCTATCTATCTATCTATCTATCTATCTATCTATATCTATCTATCTATCTATCTATCTATCTATCTATCTATCTATCTATCTATCTATCTATCTATCTATCTATCTATCTATCTATCTATCTATCTATCTATCTATCTATCTATCTATCTATCTATCTATCTATCTATCTATCTATCTATCTATCTATCTATCTATCTATCTATCTATCTATCTATCTATCTATCTATCTATCTATCTATCTATCTATCTATCTATCTATCTATCTATCTATCTATCTATCTATCTATCTATCTATCTATCTATCTATCTATCTATCTATCTATCTATCTATCTATCTATCTATCTATCTATCTATCTATCTATCTATCTATCTATCTATCTATCTATCTATCTATCTATCTATCTATCTATCTATCTATCTATCTATCTATCTATCTATCTATCTATCTATCTATCTATCTATCTATCTATCTATCTATCTATCTATCTATCTATCTATCTATCTATCCATCTATCCATCTATCTATCTATCCATCTATCCATCTATCCATCTATCCATCTATCCATCTATCCATCTATCCATCTATCCATCTATCTATCCATCTATCTATCTATCTATCTATCTATCTATCTATCTATCTATCTATCTATCTATCTATCTATCTATCTATCTATCTATCTATCTATCTATCTATCTATCTATCTATCTATCTATCTATCTATCTATCTATCTATCTATCTATCTGTCTGTCTGTCCTGTCTGTCTGTCTGTCTTCTGTCTGTCTGTCTGTCTGTCTGTCTGTCTGTCTGTCTGTCTGTCTGTCTGTCTGTCTGTCTGTCTGTCTGTCTGTCTGTCTGTCTGTCTGTCTGTCTGTCTGTCTGTCTGTCTGTCTGTCTGTCTGTCTGTCTGTCTGTCTCGTCTGTCTGCTGTCTGGCTATCTGGCTGCCTGGCTGTCTGGCTGTCTGTCTGTCTGTCTGTCTGTCTGTCTGTCTGTCTGTCTGTCTGTCTGTCTGTCTGTCTGTCTGTCTGTCTGTCTGTCTGTCTGTCTGTCTGTCTGTCTGTCTGTCTGTATGGCTGTCTGTCTGGCTGTCTGTCTGGCTGTCTGTCTATCTGTCTCTGTAGCAAATGTTTATATCTGTCTCTAGCAAGCGCGTGTATTTATGTGTATATATATATGTTAAAAGTGTATATATTTATATATACATATATACATATGTATATATATATATATATATATATATATATATATATATATATATATATATGTGTGTGTGTGTGTGTGTGTGTGTGTGAGTGTTTCTGGCAAACGCCTGCACCTTACTGGCAAATGTTTAGAGATATGTCTCTGGCAAACGTTTATATATCTTGAAAACGTTTATATATCTCTTTGGCAAACGTTCATATATCTCTCTTTGGCAAACGTTTATAGCTCTCTCTGACAAACGTTTATATCTCTCTCTGACAAACGTTTATATCTCTCTCTGACAAACGTTTATATCTCTCTCTGACAAACGTTTATATCTCTCTCTGACAAACGTTTATATCTCTCTCTGACAAACGTTTATATCTCTCTCTGACAAACGTTTATATCTCTCTCTGGCAAACGTTTATATCTCTCTGACAAACGTTTATATCTCTCTCTGACAAACGTTTATATCTCTCTCTGACAAACGTTTATATCTCTCTCTGACAAACGTTTATATCTCTCTCTGACAAACGTTTATATCTCTCTCTGACAAACGTTTATATCTCTCTCTGACAAACGTTTATATCTCTCTCTGGCAAACGTTTACACCCTGGGTAAAACAGAGGCGACTAAGCTGTGAGCGTAATGATGGGGATGGTAATGATTGCCAATCAGATAATTATGAAAATAATAAACGCGATATAGATGACCGTTACGGTGAAAGGTCATGGAGCTGTCTTGCTCATGATGATGCATATGCTCGCTTTCTTTTTCTCTTCTTTTTTACGTTGACAAGTTGTCAACTCCAGTGGAAAGTTCTAGATGTTTTTCTGCGACTGGACATTAGTCTTGTACCAGAAACTAAGTGTTGCGCGCACATCCGATTTACAGATCTGACTTATTTGTATGCAGACTATTGTTTCCTTTACTCTTATGCAAATGCACTTCAACTTAGAAAGAAGGCCCCCCCCCCCCCACTCCCAACCACCACCAGTTAGTCTACTCTTACGACACGCCTTTTTGGGAGGTAGTGGGTCTTTCTTGTGTTCCCAAACAATGGGGTCCGGGAACCCACAAGAGGTCTGAAAATGATGATGATGATGGCGATTGTGATGATGATGTTGGCGTTGGTGATGAAAATGATGATACTAGCAGAAACGAAGACCAATGCTGTTTATTTGATCTCTTGGCTAGTGATTCCCGCAACACAGAGCAACACGGTCACGCCGACCACGTCCACATCTGGGAGCACCACCGCCATGACAGGCTCCACCAGCCCCATGTTCTCCTCCTCCTCAGTGAGCACCATGAACGTCAGCACCAACTTTTCGTCAACCGACAATACAACCATGACAATGACCACAGCTACAACCACCACAGCTACAACCACCACAGTAAAACCAGTACCCGATATATCCCACAATACAGGTGAGATTCTGTCAATAGCAGGGCTGTTTTTTTGTGTTATCGTTTGTTTGTTTCAGTGACGTGCTGCTCAGCTAGTTTCTAACATGGGACTGTTACATTTGTCGTTTCCTTATAGTCTACCATGGGAGCCGCCGTGTTGTAGCAGCTAGATGCTCAAACACAAAACGGAGCCAGAATACTTTTTTTAAGAAATGACCCTAGCTCCCAATGTCTGCCCAGTCTTAAACGGGTACTAGGCAACTCCTGGGAAGTAAAGGCGGCAGGCGTGCTATTGACCACATCATCCAACGATTGGTCTGTGAACTATAGGTCTTGCACTGTGTTTGCCTAATGTTCTGTCGGTGTCGTATAAAGCCCTTTACTTACTGTCTACCACAGGTGCCTCTCCAGTTGTGCGCCCATTTGTGCACTCCTCCACTCCACTCCCCTCTCCCCCATTTAAACAAAAATTGGGAAGGTGGAGGGTGATTTAGCGACAGACCGCTTTGTGTTATTTCGTAAGTGGTATCGAGTCCACTGTTTAGAAGAAACGGTAAAACCACAGAGCATCAAATTGCCTAGTAAAACGAAACAAAGGATTCTGGGATTGGTCCTGCAACAACATGTTTGAACCGAGCAGAAAGCCACAAACCCCGGCTTTAATGAAGTTTCAACCTGTACCTCTTTCAGTCCAAAGGTAACTAGCTCTTTACTTAGTATTGTATATCCAAAAGTGTGTGTACACTTGAGAAACAAACGTTGTGGTGCGGCTGGCCAAACGGTGAGAGCAGGGATTTTTTTTTCCGTCTTTATAGCAAAAAGTGGTATAATACAGTCAGTGAGCAATAATTGCTTAGTCTTACAGGATGGAAAAGTAGCTGATAGACTTTCCTGTACTGCATTTATAGAAGATGGCCGGCCCATGGATCACCTAGATATTGTCAATGTCCTTAAATATTATTACATCCAGTTTCGTCCTTTACAGGACGAAATTTTTTGTCATTTGAAGCCCTACTCTGGCTTTTGCCAGGGGCCGCAATATAGGCAGGCCATGCATATGGCCAAATGTCTGAACGCGGTTTCTGGGACCTCTCCACGGCGATCCTCATCCGCATGGTGGCACTTTGTGTCATCGGGTGTTTATCGCTTGTGTGATGTCCTGGTGGGGTGGAAAGTCAGTCAATGTCCTTAAATAATGCATCTCCAAAAAATAATCCAGTTTCGTCCTTTTGAGGATAAAATTTTTTTGTTATTTGAAGCCCCACCCTGGCTTTATCCAGGGGCCGCAATATAGGCAGGCCATAAATATGGCCAATTGTCTGAACGCGGTTTCTGAGACCTCTTCACGGCGATCCTCATCCACATGGTGGCACTTTGTGTCATCGGGTGTTTATCGCTTGTGTGATGTCCTAGTGGGGTAGAAAGTCAGTCAGTCAGTCGATGTCCTTAGAGTCAGCAGTGTTATGCATACTACTTCCAGTCCTTTTTAAGATGAAATTTTTCGTTATTTAAAGCCCTACTCTGGCTCTTGCCAGGGGCCGCAATATAGCCTGGCCATAAATGTGGCCTAAAGGTTGAACGCGGTTTGTGGGACCTCTCCACGGTGATCCTCACCCACATGGTGGCTCATCGGGTGTTTATCGCTTGTGTGATGTCCAGGTGGGGTAGAAAGTCAGTCAGTCAGTCAGTCAGTCAGTCAATGCCCTTAGAGAGATAAGACGTTCCGGGGATTTTGGAAGCAACGTGTCCACATCACTGCTAAGAATACGAGACCTGGGAGTAAAGATCGGCACAGCCAAGCATGAGAAGCACACCGGAGGCAAACGAAGTCTTGTCTACCAGCACAGGACTAGCACTGTTAACTGTGCGACGCTGATGAATATTCTGAAGCGGAAATCTGAGTACCTATGGATGTGTCCGGAGCGCTGTGAAGACAATCCAACTCATAACTTATAACTTAACTCACAAATCAGAACGAGCTATAGTAAAGTATAAAGTCAAGGACCCTTCACCACGTCTTCAGGCGTATTGGGCATATAGGGCTAGACCTGTATTTTATAGATCAGTCAGCATTGGGTGGGTGGTGCTGTCAGCATCACGCCGGTCGCCTTCACTTCCCAGGACTCCACTTGGTACCCATTCAAAGTTTGGTCGGCTTGGGAGCAAAAGTTATTTTTGAAAAAAAATGCCGACTCCATCAGGATCTGAACCCACGACCTTCCGATCCGCAGGCGAGCTTCTAACCCAGTGGTTCTCAAAATTCCTAATGCCACGACCCTTTAATACAGTTCCTCGTGTTGTGGCGACCCTTTAATACAGTTCCTCGTGTTGTGGCGACCCTTTAATACAGTTCCTCATACTGTGGCGACCCTTTAATACAGTCCCTCGTATTTTGGCGACCCTTTAATACAGTTCCTCATGTTGTGGCGACCCTTTAATACAGTTCCTCATACTGTGGCGACCCTTTAATACAGTTCCTCGTGTTGTGGCGACCCTTTAATACAGTTCCTCATGTTGTGGCGACCCTTTAATACAGTTCCTCATACTGTGGCGACCCTTTAATACAGTTCCTCACGTTGTGGCGACCCTTTAATACAGTTCCTCATACTGTGGCGACCCTTTAATACAGTTCCTCGTGTTGTGGCGACCCTTTAATACAGTTCCTCGTGTTATGGCGACCCTTTAATACAGTTCCTCGTGTTGTGGCGACCCTTTAAAACAGTTCCTCATACTGTGGCGACCCTTTAATACAGTTCCTCGTGTTGTGGCGACCCTTTAATACAGTTCCTCGTGTTGTGGCGACCCTTTAATACAGTTCCTCATGTTGTGGCGACCCTTTAATACAGTTCCTCATACTGTGGCGACCCTTTAATACAGTTCCTCATGTTGTGGCGACCCTTTAATACAGTTCCTCATACTGTGGCGACCCTTTAATACAGTTCCTCATGTTGTGGCGACCCTTTAATACAGTTCCTCATACTGTGGCGACCCTTTAATACAGTTCCTCATATTTTGGTTACCCTTTAATACAGTTCCTCATGCTGTGGCGACCCTTTAATACAGTTCCTCATATTTTGGTTACCCTTTAATACAGTTCCTCATGCTGTGGCGACCCTTTAATACAGTTCCTCGTATTTTGGCGACCCTTTAATACAGTTCCTCATGTTGTGACGACCCCCAACCATACAATTATTTCCATAACTTCAATGAATATTTGTTCTTCGATGGTCTTTGGCGACCCCTGTGAAAGGATCGTTAGACGCAAAAAACCATAGGCTGAAAACCGCTGGTCTAGAACGAGCAATAGCAGCCATTAAAATTAAACAGCAAGCGGAGAAATATTAGAACAAGTAACAAGATTCTCCTGTATGGGTACAGGAAGGAATAGAAGATGGCAGAGGTGAAACAGAAATTTAAAAAAAAAAAAAGACGAATAGGAATAGCTAACAATATTTTCAGTAAGATGCGAAAGTTACTGACAGCTAAAGAGATAAGCAACACATTCAACATGAAAATCATTAAATGTTATGCACGCACTCCCCTGCTGTATGTTGCACAAAATTTGAGCCACGAACAGACAACTAGAACATAAAATTAAGTCTCAGGAAAGGTTCATATACACAAGAATAGGTCGTATTTCTTGGATACACAAACAATCAAATACAGAGGTTCTAAGAAGACTGAATGAAAAGAGAATTAATGAAAGAATGTCAAAACAAAGGGAAAGAGACAGGGAGACAGCTGAAATATAATGGCCGTATTAAAAAACATAATACGGTTTTGAAAACCACACTGGGGTGGGAAGGGGTGGCGAGGTCGAGGACAAGAGAGCAACAGGTAGAGTAGACAATGATACAAGTGGAAAACAGCAGCAAGAGTTGGACAAAAGACAGCCTGAGAGAGCACAACCAAGACTAAAGACAGTGCGTGTTGTAGGTGAATTGCAGCCAACCTTCATTGTGGAGACGGTACATGATTGACAGGAACCACTTGAACAGAATGGAAGAATATGACAGAAAATAGAAATAGAATAGAAATATGCAGCTCATAAAAAGTCACTACTAAAAGTATTGTGAGTTACTCGGTAGCGAAGAAGTTATTATTTATCAAATAGTTTCCCTCCACAAAGTGTGTCACTAAATAGCACTCGTATATTTCACAGACCTTGCCATGAATGTCCTCAACTTTACAGTAAGCAACGACAATACGTCAGACATCCAATATCTGAACGCCAATTTGACCAGAGAACAGCTTCTCACTATGGTAAGCATGTAGATAATGTCAGTGTCAGGATGTAGCTAAATCCTGGCGATATCTCAACTCTTGGCAGCCTAGTGTTTGGCACTTTTGCCTGTTGAGAAAGAAGTCCATGAACAGTTAGCAGCCTAGAGTTTGGCACTTTTGCCTGTTGAGACAGAAGTCCATAAACAGTTAGCAGCCTAGAATTTGGCACTTTTGTCTGTTGAGACAGAAGTCCATAAACAGTTAGCAGCCTAGAGTTTGGCACTTTTGCCTGTTGAGACAGAAGTCCATAAACAGTTAGCAGCCTAGAGTTTGGCACTTTTGCCTGTTGAGACAGAAGTCCATAAACAGTTAGCAGCCTAGAGTTTGGCACTTTTGCCTGTTGAGACAGAAGTCCATGAACAGTTAGCAGCCTAGTGTTTGGCACTTTTGCCTGTTGAGACAGAAGTCCATGAACAGTTAGCAGCCTAGTGTTTGGCACTTTTGCCTGTTGAGACAGAAGTCCATGAACAGTTAGCAGCCTAGAGTTTGGCACTTTTGCCTGTTGAGACAGAAGTCCATGAACAGTTAGCAGCCTAGAGTTTGGCACTTTTGCCTGTTGAGACAGAAGTCCATGAACAGTTAGCAGCCTAGAGTTTGGCACTTTTGCCTGTTGAGACAGAAGTCCATGAACAGTTAGCAGCCTAGTGTTTGGCACTTTTTCCTGTTGAGACAGAAGTCCATGAACAGTTAGCAGCCTAGTGTTTGGCACTTTTGCCTGTTGAGACAGAAGTCCGTGAACATCCGAATCAACTGGTACGTTTTTCGTGACCAAAACGGCTGAGTAGCTTTAGCCTAAAATCAAAGGGTTCTGCATTACTTTCTCAGAAAGGACAAAAGTAGTACTTTTACCCCACCAGGACATCACACAAGCGATAAACACCCGATGACACAAAGTGCCACCATGCAGATGAGCATCACCTGTGGAGAGGTCCCAGAAACCGCGTTCAGCCATTAGGTGAAATAAATGGCCGGGCTATATTGCGGCCCCTGGCAAGAGCCAGTGTGTGGCTTCAAAATAACGAAAAATTGCATCCTACAAGGGGATAACTAAGGTACGCATGACAAAGAAGGAAAAATGGCAATAAAGCGAACTGGTACCCCGCCTGGTGATTTGGAGCCTACGATGTGGGAAAGAAAGTCAAATATTTCACACTCATACAGAAGTTTCTGCTATCAGACAACCTCTAACGTTTGTGGATAAAGAGAACAGGAGAAGAAGTCAAGTTGATGAAAGGCGTGCGGGGATCTTGAATTATGTAGGCAACCAACTCTCTCGGGGTCCTGGTGGAGCAATGATGGGCAGTACAAGAATCCTAATGTTTCTTAGGGAGACTCAGTGGTGTAGCGGCTAGATGCTCGTCTGTAGAGCCGAAGATCGTGGGTTTAAATCCGAATAGGGCCAGACTTTTCACAAATCCCCGTTGATTAATTTTTAGGTCTGAATATAATGAGCTGAAAGGCAAATCCATACAGAAATAAAATCCAGTGTGTACCGAACGACTGTTGTAGGAAGACACAACATAAACACTAGTGTGCGGGTAAAGAATAGAGGGGGAGGGGTGCAGAGGCGTAGCAAGGGGAGCACTGCTAGGAGGGGTAGCGGGTCGCACCGGTGTCATCTCTGGAGGGGGGCGGGGGGGGGGGCGGGTGATAAAATGGTAACAATCTGCATTTTTACTGTAAAAAATGTATGTGAGCGTGTGTTTGTGTGTGTATATGTGTGTGTATGTTTGTGTAGGTGACTGGACATTTTCCTCACCGGGATACCAACTGTGATCTTGCAATGCTTCTGGGAGAAGACGAGAAAGGGGTGGGGGCTGATTATAGCAGTACAGTGATGCGGCGACCAGTTTACAAGGAAAATCTTGACTCGCTCACTTCCACCTTCTGAAAAAATACTTGTACATGATGATGGTGAAGATAATTATGATAGGCTACCGGGTCAACCTAGACTAACCGGGGTATCAGAAAATGTTCTGGGAAGAAAATGCGATCTCTGTGACATAGATCCCAAAAACCGATTGTGAGCAGTTTGGTCTACAACAGTTCTGCTCTAGTTCTAGAGAGGATTCTGAAGTTGTACGTACGTACAGTAACGGGGGATGAACAACCACATACAAGTGAAAGTTGACACATGACAAGGATTCAACCTAAGCCGGTTTGGCACCACTGCTATAGGCAGTCTGTAGATCCGGTGATTGTAAGTTCAAGTCCCTTTCCAGAAATAGATTTTTTTTTCTCTCTCCACTGACCGTCTCCCATCTTCTGGAAGTGTTTGGGGAAGTTAAATGGGCAGTAAACATAGCCAGTGTGGATTTGATCTACGTGTCAGGTACACAACCTACTTGAGTTGTATATTTATCAAGAAGTGATTGACAATGCTAGTCAGCACAAAGAAACATCTCATACAAAGCATATTAATTCCAATCCCATGCTACCGGTGCCCAACATGGCAATTCACTACAAACCAGAGAAGAAAATTAGTAACCGTGGAAAGGAGATTATATAAAGGGGTGCAGGAGTGATCAGAAGAATACAATTAGGAATAAGGTCATAAAAAGCTACAGGTAGGCATAGAACTAGTTCTAAATTACTTACAAGGACAGCAGATCAAATGTTTTGTCCATTTGGAGAGACAAAATGCCCTGTGGAGCTATACCATACAGGGCATACATCACAAGAAGAGATGGACGAAGAGCACGAGGTAGACCAAGAACAATGTGGAAAGAAAGCATCAGAGAAACTCTATAACAGCACAGTGTGTCTATGGTCAAGACGGCCAGAAGAACAAGAAGCACAATCGTATCGCTCTTATAAACTTCTTGCAGATACCTGAAGCGGCAAGAGGAAGTGAAAAAGGAGAAAGTCTGAATAATGTAAACTGTTGAATTATGAAAAGAATCATTAGTTCTCTTCGTCATTCAAGACATTACTCGTCATTACACCTTTATCTATCTGTGATGATCTCATCTTCTAGCTATAACCCTACATATACGTATCTAACAAATAAATTTCCTCCAATGGTGTGCCTGTTCAAGATTCACTTCTATACATCACGATTATACTTTCATCTTTGACAGATAATACTGTTGTTTTTTATTTCTGTTTTACTTTGCATGCTTTTATGTCAGATCAACAAGAATCTATCGCAGTTACTTATGTTTTGTGACATTCTAATTTCAGTTGAATGCCCAGTTCCGACCTATCAGCTTTAGCACCGAACTGATACATGTCAAGTAAGTAACAGTCATGTGTAGACAGGAGTTTCCGTTATTCTTGTTATTTATGCAGCATGTTTGTTTCATATCTGTTTGTCATCTTCCCTTTTTCCCCGACCTCTTCCCTCTTATATACACACACATATCCTGAAGTACCTCTAGCTCTCTCTCTCTATATATATATATAGAGATCGGTTTTTTTTTTTTTAGGAAACGAGGTCAGGTTCTGCCCCAGAAGACACACATCGTATTTATGGATCAAAAGTAGCACACCGGACCATTGTGTGTTTTAACAAGCTTACAGAGATAGCCACCTTCTTCTTCCCACTCAGCAGCTGTAAACTTTGGCAGAAATTGCTAGTTGCTTGTTTCCTTCTGGGCATTCCATAACTTGAGGTTTGCGTGCACATACATTTTACATATATGGCTTATTTGTATGTAGACTGTTGGTTCCCCGCCTCCCAGGCAGATGCACTCCTACTTCGAAGGAGACCCCTAGTTAATCGACTCTTACGACATGCTTGTTAAAGAGGCAGTGGGTCTATTCTTGCCAACCCCCACCCTCTCCTCCACAGTGGGATTCCGGGTCCACACGGAAAGAGATGGTCAACATTTAGAGGTTGTCTCAAGAAAGCCGACCGTCCAGAGGCAATGGCAAACTAGTGGACGTAAATTTGCATAGTGAAACCACACAACAGCCAGGGGCTGTTAGGGTTGGTTCTGCAACGTCCTGTAAAGGATACGCAACTAACCTTAACCTTCCGTTGAAAATATGTAGCAACCGTCTGGTCAATAAAATGAGGTCAACTTATTGAGCTGGTCAACGCAAGTAGTTGGTCAACTTTACTGTATATACACATACACGACCGGATTAGATGATGATTCACTGAAGTCAAGACATCCAATCTGCGACGTGTTCCAAGCACATTACTCATGTTTATTACCCCTGAAAATATGGTAATGAAAGGTCCATTTATGCCCCACAAATATGTTGATTTGAATATGAATGATATATCATACAGACTGGGCAATAACTCCTATACTTTATAGAACTTAATAAGAATGGACCAAAATCTACGTTTCGTCGGGGAATATTTTCTCAAAGTCTCTTTGATCTTATTCTCAGTACACATTCGAGTAAACAGGAACATTGCAGGAATATCGTTCATGAAACGAAAACGTGACAAATAAAAAAAGTGCTGCAGAAAAGAAGTTAGGACTGCCCTCAAATGTCAAGCGTCGACCAGATCCCCCGAGTGTAGAGCGTCGACCAGATCCTCCGAGTGTAGAGCGTTGACCAGATCCTCCAAGTGTAGAGCGTTGACCAGATCCCCCGAGTGTAGAGCGTTGACCAGATCCTCCAAGTGTAGAGCGTTGACCAGATCCTTCAAGTGTAGAGCGTTGACCAGATCCTCCAAGTGTAGAGCGTTGACCAGATCCCCCAAGTGTAGAGCGTTGACCAGATCCTCCAAGTGTAGAGCGTTGACCAGATCCCCTAAGTGTAGAGCGTTGACCAGATCCCCCAAGTGTAGAGCGTTGACCAGATCCCCCAAGTGTAGAGCGTTGACCAGATCCTCCAAGTGTAGAGCGTTGACCAGATCCCCCAAGTGTAGAGCGTTGACCAGATCCCCCAAGTGTAGAGCGTTGACCAGATCCTCCAAGTGTAGAGCGTTGACCAGATCCTCCAAGTGTAGAGCGTTGACCAGATCCCCCAAGTGTCGAGGGTTGACCAGATCCCCCAAGTGTAGAGCGTTGACCAGATCCACTGGTCACTCCTCGCGCCACCACTCTCTTCAGATCATGACTGTGATTTCTCACCGTTGACACGATCTCAAAGGGCCCTTACACAGGCTAACTTGTCATGCAACAATTCGCCATCAAGCGATGCAGAACCAGCATTTTTCCGCACATCATATGCAGCTTGTCTGATTACGTTTAATTGCTCTAATCAGTTTATGGTTTTTATCTCATCATCATCATAAATCATTTCTGCCGTTAAGCGTTGTGGGCAGGAATAATTTCCCATCCAGTGCACGCTGGCTGTCGCTGACCATTGTCCTGCCGTGAAGACGTAGAGTGTCTTTAATGGTATCGATCCATAGGTTTGCAGCCGCCCTCTTGTAGCTGATGATCCGACCTGTAGTGCCTATGATGGTATGTGATTTTGCTGCATTTCTAACGAGATGGCCAAACCACTTGATCTTCTGTTTCCCATAGAATCTAGTTCAAGGTGTCGTATCTACAATTTATCTTACAGTATTATTATTCGCTCGATCTCGGGTGGTTAAATTGACGACTTTTCTCGGGCATCTCATCTCGCAGTGGTGATTTTGCGTATATGGGCTTTAGATAGTGTCCATGTTTGGCACGGGTAGCTTAATGTTGGAATAAATAGGCTGTTTATAACATGTCTTTTTGAACTCATATTTATATTTGGATGTCTTAATAATGGTGACAATTGGTATATAAATGCACTTGCTTTCTGACATCTGGTTTTATTTCTCTGTCAATTCTACCATCTTCCCTGATCGTACTTCCTAAATATTTATATTCCCTAACCTGATTCAAACAGGAACCATTCAGCTGTATGTGTAGTGGGCCAGGGGTTCTACTAATTTGCATTGTTTCGTTTTTGCATTTTTCTTTTTTTTTTTCGGTTTTTCATCTGTTTCTTGGAAAAACTGCCTCATTTGTTTGTGCGTTCTTCCGTGGTATTATTAGCATTTTTTTTTTTTTTTTTGTTAATATAAATAATATTTCTACTGTCACGGCATGGTTTTATTTTTCTTTTCCAGCTTGTCTGCTCATGTCCTTTTTCACGGGTAATTGTGTCATATAGCAGGTCCTTGTCTCACAGGTAATTGTGTCATGTAGCAGGTCCCTGTTCACGGGTAATTGTGTCATGTAGCAGGTCCTTGTTTCAGAGGTAACTGTGTCATGTAGCAGCTCCCTGTTTCACGGGTAATTGTGTCATGTAGCAGGTCCCTGTTCACGGGTAATTGTGTCATGTAGCAGGTCCTTGTCTCACGGGTAATTGTGTCATATAGCAGGTCCTTGTTTCAGAGGTAATTGTGTCATGTAGCAGGTCCCTGTTTCACGGGTAATTGTGTCATGTAGCAGGTCCTTGTTTCAGAGGTAACTGTGTCATGTAGCAGCTCCCTGTTTCACGGGTAATTGTGTCATGTAGCAGGTCCTTGTTTCAGAGGTAACTGTGTCATGTAGCAGGTCCCTGTTTCACGGGTAATTGTGTCATGTAGCAGGTCCCTGTTTCACGGGTAACTGTGTCATGTAGCAGGTCCTTGTCTCACAGGTAATTGCGTCATGTAGCAGCTCCCTGTTTCACGGGTAATTGTGTCATGTAGCAGGTCCCTGTTCACGGGTAATTGTGTCATGTAGCAGGTCCTTGTCTCACGGGTAATTGTGTCATATAGCAGGTCCTTGTTTCAGAGGTAATTGTGTCATGTAGCAGGTCCCTGTTTCACGGGTAATTGTGTCATGTAGCAGGTCCTTGTTTCAGAGGTAACTGTGTCATGTAGCAGCTCCCTGTTTCACGGGTAATTGTGTCATGTAGCAGGTCCTTGTTTCAGAGGTAACTGTGTCATGTAGCAGGTCCCTGTTTCACGGGTAATTGTGTCATGTAGCAGGTCCCTGTTTCACGGGTAACTGTGTCATGTAGCAGGTCCTTGTCTCACAGGTAATTGCGTCATGTAGCAGGTCCTTGTCTCACAGGTAATTGTGTCATGTAGCAGGTCCTTGTCTCACATGTAATTGTGTCATGTAGCAGGTCCTTGTCTCACAGGTAATTGTGTCATGTAGCAGGTCCTTGTCTCACAGGTAATTGTGTCATGTAGCAGGTCCTTGTCTCACAGGTAATTGTGTCATGTAGCAGTTCCTTGTTTCAGAGGTAACTGTGTCATGTAGCAGGTCCTTGTTTCAGAGGTAATTGTGTCATGTAGCAGGTCCCTGTTTTTACGGGTAATTGTGCCATGTAGCAGGTCCCTGTTTCAAAGGTAATTGTGTCATGTAGCAGGTCCTTGTCTCACAGGTAATTGTGTCATGTAGCAGGTCCCTGTTTCACGGGTAATTGTGTCATGTAGCAGGTCCCTGTTTCACGGGTAATTGTGTCATGTAGCAGGTCCCTGTTTCACGGGTAATTGTGTCATGTAGCAGGTCCCTGTTTCACAGGTAATTGTGTCATGTAGCAGGTCCCTGTTTCACGGGTAATTGTGTCATGTAGCAGGTCCTTGTCTCACAGGTAATTGTGTCATGTAGAAGGTCCTTGTCTCACGGGTAATTGTGTCATGTAGCAGGTCCTTGTCTCACGGGTAATTGTGTCATGTAGCAGGTCCCTGTCTCACGGGTAATTGTGTCATACAGCAGGTCCTTGTCTCACAGGTAATTGTGTCATGTAGCAGGTCCCTGTTTCACAGGTAATTGTTCCATACAGCAGGTCCTTGTCTCACAGGTAATTGTGTCATGTAGCAGGTCCCTGTTTCACAGGTAATTGTGTCATACAGCAGGTCCTTGTCTCACAGGTAATTGTGTCATGTAGCAGGTCCCTGTTTCACGGGTAATTGTGTCATGTAGCAGCTCCCTGTTTCACAGGTAATTGTGTCATATAGCAGGTCCTTGTTTCACAGGTACTTGTGTCATGTAGCAGGTCCTTGTCTCACAGGTAATTGTGTCATGTAGCAGGTCCCTGTTTCACGGGTAATTGTGTCATGTAGCAGGTCCCTGTTTCACGGGTAATTGTGTCATGTAGCAGGTCCCTGTTTCACAGGTAATTGTGTCATGTTGCAACTCCCTGTCTCACGGGTAATTGTGTCATGTAGCAGGTCCCTGTTTCACGGGTAATTGTGTCATGTAGCAGGTCCTTGTCTCACAGGTAATTGTGTCATGTAGCAGGTCCCTGATTCACGGGTAATTGTGTCATGTAGCAGGTCCTTGTCTCCCAGGTAACTGTGTCATGTAGCAGGTCCTTGTCTCACAGGTAATTGTGTCATGTAGCAGGTCCTTGTTTCACGGGTAATTGTGTCATGTAGCAGGTCCTTGTCTCACAGGTAATTGTGTCATGTAGCAGGTCCCTGTTTCACAGGTAATTGTGCCATACAGCAGGTCCTTGTCTCACAGGTAATTGTGTCATGTAGCAGGTCCCTGTTTCACGGGTAATTGTGTCATACAGCAGGTCCCTGTTTCACGGGTAATTGTGTCATGTAGCAGGTCCTTGTTTCACGGGTAATTGTGTTATGTAGCAGCTCCCTGTTTCACAGGTAATTGTGTCACGTAGCAGGTCCCTGTTTCACAGGTAATTGTGTCATGTAGCAGGTCCCTGTTTCACAGGTAATTGTGTCACGTAGCAGGTCCCTGTTTCACAGGTAATTGTGTCATGTAGCAGGTCCTTGTTTCACGGGTAATTGTGTCACGTAGCAGGTCCCTGTTTCACAGGTAATTGTGTCACGTAGCAGGTCCTTGTTTCACAGGTAATTGTGTCATCTAGCAGGTCCCTGTTTCACAGGTAATTGTGTCACGTAGCAGGTCCCTGTTTCACAGGTAATTGTGTCACGTAGCAGGTCCCTGTTTCACAGGTAATTGTGTCACGTAGCAGGTCCCTGTTTCACAGGTAATTGTGTCACGTAGCAGCTCCCTGTTTCACAGGTAATTGTGTCACGTAGCAGGTCCCTGTTTCACAGGTAATTGTGTCATGTAGCAGGTCCCTGTTTCACAGGTAATTGTGTCACGTAGCAGGTCCCTGTTTCACAGGTAATTGTGTCATGTAGCAGGTCCCTGTTTCACAGGTAATTGTGTCACGTAGCAGGTCCCTGTTTCACAGGTAATTGTGTCACGTAGCAGGTCCTTGTTTCACAGGTAATTGTGTCATCTAGCAGGTCCCTGTTTCACAGGTAATTGTGTCACGTAGCAGGTCCCTGTTTCACAGGTAATTGTGTCACGTAGCAGGTCCCTGTTTCACAGGTAATTGTGTCACGTAGCAGGTCCCTGTTTCACAGGTAATTGTGTCACGTAGCAGCTCCCTGTTTCACAGGTAATTGTGTCACGTAGCAGGTCCCTGTTTCACAGGTAATTGTGTCACGTAGCAGGTCCCTGTTTCACAGGTAATTGTGTCATGTAGCAGGTCCCTGTTTCACAGGTAATTGTGTCACGTAGCAGGTCCCTGTTTCACAGGTAATTGTGTCATGTAGCAGGTCCCTGTTTCACAGGTAATTGTGTCACGTAGCAGGTCCTTGTCTCACGGGTAATTGTGTCTTGTATCAGGTCCTTGTCTCACGGGTAATTGTGTCACGTAGCAGGTCCCTGTTTCACAGGTAATTGTGTCATGTAGCAGGTCCCTGTTTCACAGGTAATTGTGTCACGTAGCAGGTCCTTTGAAGACGCCACTTTGATCATGGCCTGCTAGAAAGAAACTAGTGTACCGGAAGCAACTAAACGTGGCTATATCAAACAAGCAGGCGAACTCGGTCTCTCACCAGCTCTCCTGCGTCGTGTGCTTTTTTTTCCAAGTTGTCATTGATATTATGTACATATTTTCGTGCTGGTCGGTCCTTGCCCCTCTTTCCTGGTACCATGCTTTCTGTATAATTTTTTTTTTTCAATCCACCTTATACAACAGTACTATATAGACTACAAATCTACATATACATCTAAAACATCGCATCTTTGTTGCTACTTCAGCACCAGCCAGATGCCAGCCGTGTATGTCCTGAGGGTCATGTTCCTGCAGAAGAACACCGTAAACAACACGCAAGCTCTTGGCGGTCAAATTAACAGCGCCTTGAGAAATTTGGAGAACATGCCGGACTTTAATACGCCCAACCTCAATGTGACTTCAACCAGAGTTAGCCAGTGTAAGTAAATGTGTTTTCTTCTTCTTCTTCTTCTTCTTCTTCTTCTTCTTCTTCTTCTTCTTCTTCTTCTTCTTCTTCTTCTTCTTCTTCTTCTTCTTCTTCTTCTTCTTCTTCTTCTTCTTCTTCTTCTTCTACTACTTCTTCTTCTTCTTCTTCTTCTTCTTCTTCTTCTTCTTCTTCTTCTTCTTCTTCTTCTTCTTCTTCTTCTTCTTCTTCTTCTTCTTCTTCTTCTTCTTCTTCTTCTTCTTCTTCTTCTTCTTCTACTACTTCTTCTTCTTCTTCTTCTTCTTCTTCTTCTTCTTCTTCTTCTTCTTCTTCTTCTTCTTCTTCTTCTTCTTCTTCTTCTTCTTCTTCTTCTTCTTCTTCTTCTACCACCACACCTACTACTACTACTGTTATAATTTTTACTACTAGTACTACTATTACCACCACCACTAAAAAAGTAACAAAGTAAAGATCCATTTTTACTCCTTATGCGAATTTGGCATATGGGAAGCGCGTCCCAAATTTTTACAGACCAATCGGCACTGGGTGGGTTATGTTGTCAGCATTACGAAGGCCGTCTTTATTTCCCCATGACAGCCATCCTGGTGCCCATTTTAGGCTGGGTCGACCTGCGACGCCTCATACCATGATAAAAATCCACGCAGCCAGCAGTGGGTTTCGATCTCGGTACGTTGGAATTACGAGTCGGACTCGCAACGCCTAAGCCACGGACGCCACACCACCACCACCACCAGCACCAGAACTACTACTGCTACTTATACTACTACCACTGTTGTAATTATTACAGCTAGTACTACCACTACCACCACCAGAACTACTACTGCTACTTATACTACTACCACTGTTGTAATTATTACAACTAGTACTACCACCACCACTACCACTACCACCACTAGAACAACTACTGCTACTTATACTACTACCACTGTTGTAACTATTAAAACTAGTACTACCACCACCACCACCACTACCAGCACCACTTCTACTACTACCACCACTACTATCACAACTTTATTTTTCTTTTTTCTCGTTCTTTCTTCTCATTCTTCTTATTCTTGAGTGACAGACGGTGTGAGCAATGACAGAGTGAGAAATAGCCTAAAAGACAAACACATATGATAAACAAAGTATAAATTGGTCACTTACAGATTTATTGAGAGGCACAGATTATATTGTAAATTTACACCAGCCTTGTGGGCCAGTAAATATCGCTCGACGGGCCAGTTTTGGCTGGGGGGGGGGGGGGTAGTTTGTCTATCCATTCTGGGGAGTTAGAGCAAATCAAGTTGAACTGTGGCCCTAAAGATGTGGATATACAGATAGAGAGGTCATAAAAAGTGGTCATACAAGTAACACGTTTTGGAGAGATGTAATTAAAAGTCGATTGTTGGTTGGGAAAGTAATACAATCAAATCTTACAAAACGATGACGTGACTAATGCAAAAATAAAATTAATGGCGTGTCGTAGGGGCTGTGCCCAACCAGAGATCACTTCATAGTTTTGGAAGATAACCTCCGAGAAGAACAGATGACAGGATTTGTAAATGTACAGTAACACAAAGTCAGTTATGCTACAACCGGCAGACAACCAGGGGGAACAAACGCTCGGACAGCTAGCCGAAGGGACGCCCATTTGGTCGGACAGGCAGACTGTCTTTGAAAATCGTCCTTTTTACTTTTTCACTTAAAATATAACCAGGCAGACGACTAGTGAAAACAGTCAGTGGGACTGACCGCTGAAGGAACGAACAGTTTATAAGACATCAGCCCGGCTCGCTAGCGTAGTTGGCTAAACCGGATTGCGCGGTGGTCCGGGTTCACGCCTGGGAGTAGGCAGAAAAGCCAAATTTCTCCCAGATTTACGGTATTTATCATAGAATCATGGCCGAAGGGTTGCGATATCCATAATACCGAGCCTAAGGGTTATGAAACACAACCAGACCATACTGTAGGATGGATAGTGAGATGATGGGCCAGGATGCTGCAGCCGGTTAGGGTGATAGTCAGATAAACATACGGAGGAAGGGATATCTTCAACTTTCTCAAACTTTTTTGAAATTTTGCTTTTACTTTTTAATAGAACACAATAATATGTAATACATATATATCCCCATATTCAATATCTACACCCTTTAAAGTTTTTAATTTACTTTAATAATACCACCTTATCGACCATATTTTTGTATTCGCCATGAAATATACCCGTCATAGGGGGAAAAAGTCTTAGTTGATATCAAAACAGGAACCATCCCGGGCCTCCCATCAAACCACCGAGCTCTCAATTAAAACACAGAAGAAGAAACAGGAGCCATCTATCAAATTTCCACCAAACCACCGAGCCTTCTACCAAACCACCCAGCCTTCCACCAAACCACCGAGCCTTCCACCAAACCACCGAGCCTTCCACCAAACCACCGAGCCTTCCACCAAACCACTGAGCCTTCCACCAAACCACCAAGCCTTCCACCAAAACACTAATGAACTATTGAAGAAAGAATCCTATCCTCCACCAAACCAGTGAACCACCAGTTTTTCCTCCTTTGCGACCTATAAACCAAAGAACCGTGAGGATCATGATCCCGATCCTCAACACCTTATACTACTGACATTCCCATAAACGATCCGTACCTATTTTCAGCAGTAAGGGCAGAATTCCAATACCCATGGTACTAGTAGCAGTCTAAAGAAAGTGATTCAGAGATAGAGAATGCTGGGAAGTGCACGTAATTCATGTATACAAACAAGTGTTGAACTCTTGAGGCCGGGAGAAACATTATATGTAATAAATAAACAGACAATATATTGATATGCACTCATAAAAATAAGTAGAAAGATAGACGGACACACTAAACAACATAAACATGGAAAGCTATAGTTACCATCTCGGGAATCGAACCTGTGCCCTCCAAGAAAAGTGCTGTTAACCTTCATTGTAGAGACTGCACCTGATTGATTGTATCTCATTACTGTTTAGATAATGCAATTAACGCCCGTTTTACTGATATTTCTTGTGTTTGTCCCTGCTCCTTCCATTGCTTCAATCAGTCCTCAATTCGACGATGGATGTGTGTTCAGCTGTGAACATCTGTCCTGTAGACTACACATGTCTGGTGGATGGCTGCCGACAGATGTGTCGGGACAAAACCTGCAGCTCACACGGCACGTGCTACGTTAGTGTCACTGCCACTGGCACAGCCAAGGCCATGTGTCAGTAAGTGTCTTCTGTAGTCATCATCATCCTCATCATCACTGTCGTTGTATTGGTGTCGTCGTCGCTCACCTTCATCAAAATTAATCCCATCGATGGCAGCAGTACCACTTATTTATAGTCTCATAGCCATTGTTATCATTTTTATCGCCGTCTGTATCGCCAACATTATCACCAGATGGTAATTTTTGTTTTTGTTCTAATCATAAGCCGCAGTAGCAGCAGCTAAAACGCTGTCATCAACATTACAAACATTGCTGTCACACATCGCTGTTTACTTATGCACCCCCCCCCCCCACCCCCACCAAAGCCTCAGTGTTGAATATCTTCCAAAAGCTGTGCTCAACCCCCCCCCCCCCCCCCCCCTTTTCCCACTTTTCCGGGTTTTTTTTTTTTCCTTTTATAACTGAAAACTTTAAGCAGCTGGTGAAATTTATTAAGAAAATTAATTCTAGATATGCTCTATATACGCTCTGTCTCGCTCAAGTGATGTTGAAATCTGGGCACACAGATCGTTTCTTTAGTGCACTGGTCACGAATTCAGCTCTAAACTAAGAATCCACACATCACTGCTCTACGGATGCCATATTCTCCTGTGCTGTGGACCTTAACGAAGCATGTGCCCTCAATAAACTTGCTTCAATGTGTACAACCGGGAAAGCAATTCAGAATTACTGTATTTTACCAAACGCAGTTAAGACAGTTAGATCCACTAGCCGGATAAAGCACTAGCCAGACTTTACCGCAGTTCGAAAAACCTTAACAGAGTCTGTAGGACGGCACGATTGATGGTGATTCAACTCCAACGAAGAAGAAGAAAAAGAAGAAGAAGAAGAAGAAGAAGAAGAAGCAGCAGCAGCAGCAGCAGCAGCAGCAGCAGCAGCAGCAGCAGCAGCAGAAGAAGAAGAAGAAGAAGAAGAAGAAGAAGAAGAAGAAGAAGAAGAAGAAGAAGAAGAAGAAGAAGAAGAAGAAGAAGAAGAAGAAGAAGAAGAAGAGAAGCAACAGAAGCAGAAGAAGATCATTTATTCCCTAAATAAAAGTATTCCTGCTATTCTGTCTGCTCGTGGGAGTCGCCGTGGTCTAGCGTCTAGAGCTCACCGGTGGATCGTAAGGTCGTTGGCTCAGGTCCTGGCGAAGCCACACTTTTTTATTTTTTCCAAAAATGACATTGGCTCTTAGGCTGACCCAATCTTAAATGGGTGCCACGTTAGGTAATGGGAAGTGAACGTGGCCGACCTGATGCTGACCACATCCACCGAGTGTCTATTAGTCCTAAAAATATAGGTCTCGCCCTATATGCCCGATACGCATAAAGTCGTGGAAAGAGATCATTTTGCTCGTAGATGTTGGTCGTAAAAAGTTTCCTGAGCTTAATTTTCATACTGTTTGTTCACTCAGTGGTCAGTGCTTCCTGTCTTACAGACTTAACATCCAAAAATGCTACTGAATATCCTTCTACCTGCAACCCTACAGTTGTGACAACTTCATTAACTTTCAACTTCGACCCTAGAGTTGTAGCAACTTCGTTCATTTTGACCTTTAACCCTACAGGCGTGACAACTTTGTTCACGTTTACCTTCTACCCTGGAGGTGAGACAGCTTAAATCTCATTTGCCTTAACCGTACCAGCGTTGACAACTTCATTGACACTAACCTTGTATTTAACAGGTGTGACAGCGAATACGCCACTGAATACATGGGAGACAACTGCGAGTACTCTCGCCATGGACGTCTAGAGATCATCGCCATCATCGCTGGAGTGCTAGGCGCTGTCATCCTTATCCTCATTGTCGTCATCATCGTCTTGTGCCTTAAATACAACCGAACATCTGCACATTCCAAATAGTGAGTCCATTCTCTTTTTCGCTTGTGTGCCAAATAAAACACAGCCGCCAAATTTTCAAAACGAGACGGAAATTTCTGGTTGTTTGTCTACTTCTGGATTTTCTTCCCCCCCCCCCCCCCCCCCCACCCCCCCCCCCCCCCCCCCCCCCCCCCGATTTCGAAGGAAACAGCCATAATTAGTCATCTGATGTTGAAATGTAGTCACAAAATTTGTCTCTATAGTGCACTGGTTCACAAACACACCTCTGACGTTTCTAGCTTGTGTTATGGGGCAAAGGGGTATTCCCCCCCCCCCCCACACCCTCCCCACCCCAAATTGTTGCCATCTTACCGTCTTTCAAGCTGATAGTGTTATATTATTCTATGGGGACGAGTGGGACCCACAGCCCATGGCGACGGCGAGTGTGACTAGCAAGACCCAGTCGTGTTAAGAAAAGTCTTCCGCGGTTAGAGCGGGAGATTTCGTGGCGACTGTTATTGCTATTACATGTATTTAGTGCGTTTCTTCTAGCTCTTATCCTTTCTACAAAAGTTTCTTCCTTCATGCTCATTCCCTGTCTGGTTTAAATCTGACTGAAATCAATCAGTTCCATCAGTCAGTTCCATCAATCAGTTCCATCAATCAATTCCATCAATCAATTCCATCAATCAATTCCATCAATCAGTTCCATCAGTCAGTTCCATCAATCAGTTCCATCAATCAGTTCCATCAATCAGTTCCATCAATCAGTTCCATCAATCAATTCCATCAATCAATTCCATCAATCAGTTCCATTAATCAGCAGGCTGTCTACAGAATGTCGCTCTCGTCACAGCACGCTTGGGGGTCTTTCTTCCTCTAGCTAAATATGCTCTAGCTATGTGCTTTCATAACCAATGCCTCTTCAATGTCTTTCATCCACTTTCGTGGAAGTGTGTCTCTGCCTCGTTGTCCGGAAACTTTGCTCTCATCGCTGCTCTCTCCAGGTCACCGAGACGTCAATCAGTCTACGATAAACAAAAATGCTCATGAGCCAGTCCACCTGGATGTTTAGATGGTTTAGAATGCCAGTAGTTGCCCTCAAGTGTTGCAATAAAAAAAACACAACACGAACAATGGTTCGGTCGCTGGGGTTAGTCAGCTGTCTTGAGAGGAGCGGCTGGTCAAGCTGTTCAGAACGTTAGGTTCTCATGCGGGAGACCCGGGTATTGAATCCTCGGTAAGGTTGTGCAATTATTTTTGCTGTTGTTGTTGGTGGGGGTTAGGCGGGGGGGGGGGGGGGGGGGGGGGGGTCCTAACGTCGGTAGTGCAGTCTCTGAAGTCAAGAAAGGAGGCAATATAACCTCATGATGACATTGTAAACTCAAGGGAACAGTCAGCAGAGGTACCTTGGAATGGCTGCTGCATCGGAAGACTGCGCATGTATGAAAGTGCCCAGTGTGACGTCGATTGTGATAGCATAATATAACATGCAGAAACAATTGCAGCAAAATCTGCCTGGTCTGTTATGGTATATGATCCATTGTCAGGTAAACGAGCGAAGAATGTACCATTATAAATACTGAAACATACGACATAGTTGTGTTTTCAACAGGTCACTGTTTTCTCCTCAGCAACGTGTCATCGGCCGACTACAGCAACACTGCATACGATGGGGCCCAGCAGAAGTAACCACCAACCAACCAGTCACCCAACGAATTTGATTAATTTTCTTTTTTTTTTTTTTTTTTTTATTCCATCGACTTATTCATAAACATTCCTCAATATCTCATGGTGTCATCACGATTTATTTCATGCAGAGCTTTCAAACATCGCAAAACGATGCCGTCTAATGTTTGAAACAAGAAACAGCTAGAAGTCAACATATTTTGCAGACGAGATTCTCAAAATTTAGGAGAGGTAACGCCATCACTAGCCAAATCCCGGATTTTGCTATGACGAGACAACAAATCAGCCATCTGTATGCACAATTTATGGAGAAACACGCTGTGTCCAAGGTCTCTGAGCTATCAAAGGTGTAGTACGTAGTCTCGAAAATTTTGACATTAATTTAACTGTACTTTTGTCACAACACAAAGTATTATTAACTTACTGTGTACCCTGCGACCCGTCACCCATTTTTTAAAACTCGTAATATGATGTGTTTAACTTCTTCCTACTCACCATCATAACTATGGTCCATTTGCAGACAGTTGCCCCGCCAGCTGTAAAGACTTTATTATTCGCAAAATTACCCGCCTCGGGGAGTTCCTTGTCTTTAATATAATGTTGTATCTCCGCCGTTGCTTCTCTTCTTCCACAAATAATGGCTTCCATTTCCGTTCGTTTGAAGCTACTGCGTTGATGAATGTGGCCAGAATTTAAGCTGCCTCTATGTTTTTTTTTTTTTTAATTACTAAATGGTCAACATTTTCGTGCGAAAGTTGAAAAAAATATAAATTCATCGTTGTCAAAATGCGCGCGTGTGCGCGACTGTGCTTGTATGTGTGTGTGCGCGCGTGCGTGAGTGTTCGAGTTGTTGTGCCACATTGGCTGTTAGTGTTGTTTAACCTCTGATTCCCTATAGTCACCTTCAAACGTTTTGTGTCTCACCGTTTAAAAAAATTATGGCGGCATTCAAAGTTTGTGACATTCCTCATTTTAGGACATTATTCTGTTTAAGTACATGGTGAAGGTGTAAGCGAAGTTTCACAGTTCAAATACACAGGGGGTCAAAATTATCTGCAAGCGAATTGTAAGCTGACCACTTTGCATTGATTTCGACAACCGTAACCACGTCACGTACAGAAAGCTGAACTGAAAATTGCCTAGCAAACCATGGAACAGCCAGTCAATTATTGGGATAGTTTTTTTATCGCGTTCTGCAAAGTGCAGGTAACATTTTTTTTTAAAATGTATATATAAATAAAAATGATTACAAAACCTTCAACGTTTAAAATCAAAGATAAGCATGCAATAAAAGTGACTTAACTGTGTGCCTGTACGACAGCTTATATGTTTGCTTTCGTGTATGTTATATGTTGACGATTGTCAAGCTCTCTTGTTGTGCTGCTTGTTTGACCACGATACTTGTGCACTATACAGCAGTTTGAATCTCTATCACATTTGAAATACTCACATGTGTTAAGTTACTGTACTTCTAAGTTCCTAATGTGTACACAATAATTTCATGATCGGATGTTAACATTACTATAATGATTACTTTGTAGTTAGTAAGAGTCGAGATATGCATAATAGTTAGTGACCACGGCTTAGGCGTTGTGAACGTGCTTCCTAACTCCGGGATACCTGGAACGATTCAAGATGCGGGCGATTTGGCAGCATACTGCTTGACTTTTTTTTCCGACAATGGTATCAAGAGCCCACCTTTAGGTAAGCAATGACAAACTGCTGAACGTGAAATGCCTTGTGAAATCACAAACGACAAAATTACGCTGGGGTTGGTTCTGTAACATCCTGTAAAACTTTAAAACGGGGATTCATGAAAAGTTGAGATACAGGTAAAAGTAGAGATGTACATAAAATTATAGATACATGTACAAGTAAGGATGTACATAAATTATAGATACATGTAAAAGTAGAGATGTACATGAAATTAGAGATACGTGTAAAAGAAGAGATACGCAATAGAAATATAGAAACAGGTAAAAGAAAAAAAAAATGCATGCAAGTAGAGATACATGTAAAAGTTAAGATATACAGTGGAAATACAGAGATACTCGTAAAAGTAACCATACGCATCGAAGTAGGGATATATGAAAAAGTAGACATACGCATTAAAGTTGAGATATCCAATGGAAATATACAGATACTCGTAAAAGTAAATATAGAACAAAAGTATAAATATACGTTAAAGTATATGTAAGTTGAGATCGGAGAACCATAAATTAACAGGTGAGGGAAAGATGCTGGCACTGAATACAACATTGGTATTTCCTTAAGTGTCCTAGTTTCATCCTACATATCATCCAGACTCAATCTAATGTTAAATACTCTATTCTGTGAAGTGGTATTGTTGTTCTTTTTAGATTTTTAGTACAATTATTTATACTATTTTGTGTTGTTACCATTGCATGTATCCATGGGAATAATCTAAACAGTTGGGAGACTGATGCCTGCTAGATTATGCTGAAGCTGTGCAGCTTACAAGTCGAGCAGTTGATTGTTTGCTTACTTTATCTCATTACCCTACCAATTCACAAATGTGTAAACTTGTCTAAATCAAACAATAAATCAAATGGTTCGACCACTCGGAGAGAATGCCTTGTGACACCTTATTGTGCAAGGCATAAGCCCCCTTTCCCCCAAAGGACATAGAGCATGAGGTAGACCAAGAACAAGATGGGAAGATAACATCAGAGAAACTCAACAGCACAATGTGTCTATGGGCGGGGCGGCCCAAGAAGCAGAACTTTATATATTCCCCGACGTGACGTAAAAAGGAGCTTATTTTTTTATTTCAGTCAAAAGGAATCATTTGTTTGCGTCCAGAAAAGCTTATACGAAAAACAAATGCATACAGCAAAATGTGTCCGACGGAAGGTGCTAACATGGCAATCATGTTGTGGTATACCGGCACAAAGCAATGACATCCTCAGATAAACGCAGAAAGACAAGATTACGAATGTGTTTCACCTTTTCCCCACCTGTGTGAACCTGACAAAGTCACAGCAAACTACAGGAAGCACTAAGTTGTGATATCTATTATTTGTTTTGAACATTCTATGTTTTAATTATTATGAATGAGTTTTTTTCCCATATTAGAAATGTGGCATTCCAGGAACATTTTCACTCCAGTGATGTGGTTTGTTTTAGTCATTTTATTCTCCAAAATAGTGTCAGAACACATCTCAGACCTGATATCACTGTACACGGTCATCAGACACGGTGGTTCAGGCACCTTGAACTAAATATGAAGGAGGCAGGGGTTGGGGGGGGGGGGTGTTGAGGCCCCTTCTTAGACAATCTGTAGGGGTTAAAGTCTTTTTTAAGTATCTGATAATATAGTTCATATAATTTCATATAACTGCCAACCAGCATATAATAATAATTATTGCAGACCTAAACAAGCCTTAGGCAACTTGGAAATTCCCTCATAGAAAATGTAAAAGAAGGCCGAGCCTCCACTGTTTTCTTTTTGTAGCCCTTCCCCTCCCCCCGGATGAGGAACCAAGAGTCGGCATACAAATAAGTCAGATCTGTAAAATGGATGTGCACACAAAACTCAAGTTCTGGAATAAGACCAAAGTCCAGAAATGGACAAACAACCAGAACTTTCTGCAGGAATTTACAGCCGGTGAATACAAAGAAGAAGAAGACATAATGTCAATCGCAACAAACCAACAGTGAGAATATTCAAATCTGACAACAGACTTTCTTATGTTTCAATTCCACTAGTATACATCCGGTCTATGAACAAATGTGCTTATATATATTGTTTACTATGCATAATCTGTTATTTATTTTCCATTTTAAAAAATAATAAACATTACAAATTCTTTCATCCATTCAAGTGTGTGCGCACAATTTGTTTTTTCTTTAATTTTATACCTTGATGAAAGGAGCTCTGATCGTCTACTTAAGGGACTCGAACCCTGAGGCTGTACTATACACAACTACCACCTGGAGACATCCTCATTAACGTACATATTCACCAAGTGTTGCCAACATACATACTCATCTAAAGATGCCAACATAACACATATCCAAAGTTGCCAACATACACACTCATCTAAACTCGCCAACATACATACACATTTAAAGTTGTCTACATTCATACATTCGTGTGTGCAACTACTGATCTGTTGTACCTGCTGCTTCTATCGATGATGTACTGCATTTCTAGTGTCGGACTGTTTGTGTTGGCATTTTTTATGGCTGCCTTATGCATTTAATACTAGTTTGTGGTACTGGATTTGCTGAGACTGCAGTCTGTATGAATTTCTCCGAAGGGATAGTGATGGATATTCTGTGTGTTTTTCACTGGCACAGGAGCGGAGCAACTAGAGGTGACCCGTTTGTTACGATGTTTGAACTGTGATTAACTGATTACCAGAAAATCAACCTCATCAGTTAAAAAGCAGAAAAAAACGACGACCTAGACACACACAAAATATGGTGCCGGCAGTTGAGACTATTCAGTTATGTTATGAAAATTCCCCGTGTGAGTTCTGGGGGCCTATTATAGGGAAAACACGAATAGAACAACTGCCTGCCCAAAAATAATTCAAGATAATGCTCGCTCAGAGGATTTGATCATTTACACAGATGGTTCAGTGTCAAGAGGCAAAAGAAGTGCTTAGGGTTTCTTAGCAAAAGTTAATGGTCAACATTTGGTGCAGGAGAGCCTAGCATATGATACCACAACATCCAGCTTAAGAATGGAGGTGGAGGCAGTCACAGCAGCTTTCCGCTGGCTAGAGAACACGACACACACACACACACATCGTGACTGTAACTGACTCAGAAAGCATGTTGAGGGAAAAAGAACAGGTATGCTTTGTGCAGAGTGGCATGCTTCGCTGCTGAGGACACGTGTGAGGAGTATTGTCTGCATTGTCTGCCAGATGCATGACAACAAAGTTACATCAACACATTATGAAGCATAAATAAATGGAATCCTTTTACAATATACTGTTGTGATGCATCTAATGCTCGAGCGCTAAATATGCCAAGCAATACATGCAATGCATTGTCTGTGTCAACATTATTTACATTCAATTTAGGAAAACATTGTTTTTTAAATACGGGGGTATCTCGGTATATGTCCGCTTTTTAATAAGTCCAACTCTATAAATGTCTTGTTTTTGTTTGTTTTTCATTAAAAAAACGTATTTGGTGTATAACCTTTGTTTGGAATAGACTCGCATGCTAGAACATGTATCAAAATAAGTCATGAAACCATGCTCTACTCTTGGTAACCTCTCTTTGAAGCAAAGTACCACATAACACCACCAAAACAAACTGCAATAGCATTGTCTGGAATGACCAGACAAATTCAAATTTCTGAAACCTGGAGAGAAGATAGAAGCACAGACTGTGGGTAAAAAGTAAAACGTTACTTGGACAGAGAGAGACATAAAATAAAGAGAAAAAACACCAGAATTTCAGATTCCTGAGGTTTTATTGAAAGGGGACTCTTTCCAAACAATAACATCTCTTTCTCCTTCCTTCAGAGCACCATACTAGTAGGTACAACAATCTTCTCAGGAAAGTAAAGTGAGGCTACATTTTCATTTATTTTGTCTAAATGCTTTTGTTTTTATGTATTTTTATATTAAGTAGTGATTAAAATGTTCTATTCAACCAAGTCAATAACATTAGGATTTTTTTCAAGGGAACGGATTAATCATTCTCTCCTTATTTTGTAATGGTACAATTTGTGGAATACTTCCTGTCTGGTATAAGTCCAAGGATCAGGAAAGGATTAAGACATATGCCTAGGTACCATTGTACTTGGATATCTTGGGGCAATGACACAATCAGGTCTAAGTCTTTCAGTAAATGTATGAGATAGGGACTATGATGATAAGGAGGATGACACATAAAACACTGACACAAACAATCCCAGAATGTATGTCTTCAATAATAGTTTAATATTAAATATAACATTAAATACCAGACATAATAGTAACAACAACACAGCAATCAAATGTATTAAAGAAAATCAAATTTTTTTTCAAATAAACAGAGAATATAAACTAAGAGCAGGCATTGAGGCAAGCACAGTTGAAATATTGAATGAGATCTCCAGAACATGAAACACAAAATGTCCAAAAAACCTTTGCAGTTTGCAATAATATTGACTTCAAGTTTAGAAATCCTAAAATACAGCACAAAAACTGACAGTCTATGTATTGTAAAAGTTGTGAATTACAAACGTCTTAGAGGGACTCATGGGATATACTGTCTCAGACATGCATGAGTGTGTGGGAATGAATGAGCAGATTTATGGGCAACAAAAGTGACAGATATAGGAAAATGCATATTCGATGCAGAAGGAATTCTGAAGATTATTTATGAATCGGTGCTGATGGTAAATTTCTTCTTCTTCGAGTTCACCGGCTGTAACTTCTGGCAAAAGATTCTGGTTGTTCATCCACCTTTGGACATGTCTTGTTCCAGAACCTGAGTGTTCGTGCACATCCCGTTTACAGATCTGACATACTTGTATGCAGATTGTTGGTTCCTTGCATCTCAGGCAGATGCACTCCAACTTCGAAGGAAGCTCCCAATTAGTCAACTTTACGACATGCTTGTTGGGGAGGCAGTGTGTCTATTCTTGTTTTCCCCACAATGGGGTCCCAGAAACAACACCATGACAGCTGGTATTAGAAAAAAGTGATGGTAGATATGATTTTAGATGAAATAACATAAGTAAGGTATGTGTGAATTTGGAATCCTGCAAGACGGGACAAATGAGAGGAGTGTGACGTGTGTACAACCATTGTTCTACAACAGTAGTCATCATTTGTACCATGCAACATTTGCTGCAGGAGATGGAGCATCTATGGGTATACCCAGTATGTTATGAAGTCGATTCTTATTTATCAGTACAAACATCTATGACCACATGAGTCCTATTTATTGACAATGCACCTGCAGAAACAAACATGTCTTGACTTTAGCTGGTATTCATGAGCATCAGCACCATGTTTGTCTGTTGTGGCAGACAAAGAGTACAGAGTTGTGGCTAAACTTTTATTTCATTGTTGGTTTTTCCTAAACATCCCTTTGCTTTACAATCTTTGTTTGGGAGCCAGGGTCCAATCGGGGTGGGGGGAAAACATTGTCTGGAATGATCAGACAATGTCAAATTTCTGAAACACCCTGCAGAGAAGACAGAAGCAAAGTTCTTTGCACAGAATTCTTCTTCTTTTTATTTGGGCTTTGTAGCAAACCTGGACCTCCCCTTCCCTGGAAAGGCAATCTTCCCTATTTGTAGCTAATATGAACCTCCCCTTTCCTGTCAAGCCTGGAATCCCTTATCTATGCCCCTAACTATGTTTCTAAACCATGCATCATCAGCCTGCAGCCCTGCTGTTACTGGTCACAAAACTGTTGGTCTGTGGTTGTTGCCAGGATGAAGCCAAACCCAGCCACGGGCTGTATCTTGAAACCTGGTACAATCATGTCTGCTGGTGCGTCATACAGTCTGTTTACAGGAACTCAGGGTGCTCAGTTCTCCATAAAGTTAACATAGTCGGTGAGTACAGCAAGATGCTGCTCGTTCATAATTGTCACTGGCGGCGTGGGTTCTGAGAAGGAAAAAAATATACGGTATCATTTACACTGCATTTATGCACAAGTCATTTTTATTTCCTTCAAATGACATCTTGTAATTTATGGCTGGCCACCTGGTTCCAAATAACTCTGGAAAATTTAGAGATTACCTCTGGAACATTGAACACTAACATCTTGTTGTTGTCTTTGTCTTCTTCCTCTTTTTCTGAGTTTATCCTCAAAATAGTGGTTAGTATATTATGCTGAAGCTTACTACTTGGCTGTGATTTCTGCCTTTAGGCAAAAACATACAAATTCAGCGAGTCCTTAATTTGTCGCCTTTAATGACATGCTTGTTTAGGGTGGGGGGGGGGGGGGGGGGGGTGTCTATTCTTGCCCCCAAAATGGAGCAACTATAACTTTCTGTTGCAGTTTATAGCCAGTGAATGCAAAGAAGAAGAAGAAGACCAAAGCAGCCACACAAGCCTTGTGTAACCTGCCGTCCTGTGTGGGTACAGAATGACTCAATGCTTGACCTTTCTGCAAGTGGATATCCTGTACCTAATGATAGGGGTCTCTGTGATGAAGTGGTCAAGCAGTTTGCCTCACGATCTAAAGGTCGTGGGTTTATTTCATGGTGGCGACGTTCAGTTCAGAAGTGCAATTTTTACGGAGATCCCTGAGAATCCTCGCCTGAGCTACGGAGGTCGTGTTTTGTGTGACGCAAGCTGTTCTGCAGAGAGAGAGAGAGAGAGAGAGAGAGAGAGAGAGAGAGACTGAGTCAAGTGGGATAAAATGAGTGCAACGAAGTTGATCAGCTCACTTTGACCTTTACCCAATGACAGTAATATCTCATCTCATTGTAAATTCTCACTGACCTAACTTCTTGGGTATGATGATTCTGTTCTGCTGGTCGACCTCCCAACCTTCCTCTTGTGCAGCTGTTAAACAAAGCAATATGTTAATTTATTGGTGTTGAAGCATACATGTGATGGCTTTCCATTGGCAAAGGAAAATTATTTACTTTTTATTAATAATGCTTACTATTTATTAGAAATAAGCAACCTGGTTTATGCCTTGAATATAGGGGGAGATACTTGCTTCATGCTTATGCCACTCATGCAGTAACTGTAATGTGTATGAAAGCTGCCAGTTACTAGCACTACAATGCTAGCTGTACACACATAATCTCAACAGTGAAGTGACAAGTAGAAACATATCATGTGATACCCTCTCTAGTGTAATCGTTACCTGCTAGTGCTTACACACTCGAACTGATCACCCCTTGCCACTGCATTTTACAGTAATGTCTGTATGGTTATGCAATGGTCACTGTGGCTGTTTAACACTAACATCTAGAACAGTATAACACTGACACCTACAAAAGTCTAAAACTAAGTAAAAAAATATCTATAAAACTCTTTTGAATTGAGTCAACATCTAGTAAAGTTTAAAACTGAGTCAAAATCTACAAAGGTCTAAAACTAGGTAAACTTGGGCAGATCCACTGCAAAATGTTGCCCTCATCATGTTCTGCCTGAAAGAAACTCAGTCTCTCACCAGCTATCCTGCCTCGTGCAATTTCAGATTTAAGGAGTCACTTAATCCTGCGCTCATTTTTGTGTTGGTCGGCCTCTGCCTCTGCCCCTCCTTCCAGTTACCATGCCTTCTGCTATTATTTTTCCAATCCGCAATGGTGCTGATATGACCAAAATATTTTAGCTTCCAGAACAAGATGCTGTTTATTAGCCAATTTTCCTTGATGTTCAGATCTTTTAAAATATCAATATTTCTTCTTTTCTTTGTCCATGGTATTTTGATAACCTTTCTATTGCATTCCAGCTCAAAAGCCCCTACTTTCTTTCTTAAGGACTGGGAGATAGTCCATGACTCACATCCATACGCTACTACAGAGAAGATGCATGCTCTCAACATTTTAACTTTGATTTCCTTGCTGGTGTTCAACCACAGTCTTTTCATTCTGTTTCATCGTTGCATTGCTATGGCTTTCCTCCTTTTGACTTCTGTTGAACAGTCTCCACTGCTATTTTTTAATGGAGCCTAGATATTACAAAATTTGTGAATTTTTCAAATTCTTCATTTACTGTTGGTGACATCCAGTTTTGTCTGTGGACATTATTTTTGTTTTCTTTAAATTCAAGAACAGGTAACCGCCCACAGAGAAATAGGAAACCTTAAAACATATGATGAAGAAATTTAGAGATGAAAATATGGGAAAGGAGGGGAGGCAGAGAAATAACTCTTTCAGTTCCAAGGAGATGAAAATATGGGAAAGGAGGGGAGGCAGAGAAATAACTCTTTCAGTTCCAAGGAGATGAAAATATGGGAAAGGAGGGGAGGCAGAGAAATAACTCTTTCAGTTCCAAGGAGATGAAAATATGGGAAAGGATGGGAGGCAGAGAAATAACTCTTTCAGTTCCTAAGAGATGAAAATATGGGAAAGGAGGGGAGGCAGAGAAATAACTCTTTCAGTTCCAAGGAGATGAAAATATGGGAAAGGAGGGGAGGCGGAGAAATAACTCTTTCAGTTCCAAGGAGATGAAAATATGGGAAAGGAGGGGAGGCAGAGAAATAACTCTTTCAGTTCCAAGGAGATGAAAATATGGGAAAGGAGGGGAGGCAGAGAAATAACTCTTTCAGTTCCAAGTAGATGAAAATATGGGAAAGGAGGGGAGGCAGAGAAATAACTCTTTCAGTTCCAAGGAGATGAAAATATGGGAAAGGATGGGAGGCAGAGAAATAACTCTTTCAGTTCCAAAGAGATGAAAATATGGGAAAGGAGGGGAGGCAGAGAAATAACTCTTTCAGTTCCAAGGAGATGAAAATATGGGAAAGGAGGGGAGGCGGAGAAATAACTCTTTCAGTTCCAAGGAGATGAAAATATGGGAAAGGAGGGGAGGCAGAGAAATAACTCTTTCAGTTCCAAGGAGATGAAAATATGGGAAAGGAGGGGAGGCAGAGAAATAACTCTTTCAGTTCCAAGGAGATGAAAATATGGGAAAGGAGGGGAGGCAGAGAAATAACTCTTTCAGTTCCAAGGAGATGAAAATATGGGAAAGGAGGGGAGGCAGAGAAATAACTCTTTCAGTTCCAAAGAGATGAAAATATTGGAAAGGAGGGGAGGCAGAGAAATAACTCTTTCAGTTCCAAGGAGATGAAAATATGGGAAAGGAGGGGAGGCAGAGAAATAACTCTTTCAGTTCCAAGGAGATGAAAATATGGGAAAGGAGGGGAGGCAGAGAAATAACTCTTTCAGTTCCAAGGAGATGAAAATATGGGAAAGGAGGGGAGGCGGAGAAATAACTCTTTCAGTTCCAAGGAGATGAAAATATGGGAAAGGAGGGGAGGCAGAGAAATAACTCTTTCAGTTCCAAGGAGATGAAAATATGGGAAAGGAGGGGAGGCAGAGAAATAACTCTTTCAGTTCCAAGGAGATGAAAATATGGGAAAGGAGGGGAGGCAGAGAAATAACTCTTTCAGTTCCAAAGAGATGAAAATATGGGAAAGGAGGGGAGGCAGAGAAATAACTCTTTCAGTTCCAAGGAGATGAAAATATGGGAAAGGAGGGGAGGCGGAGAAATAACTCTTTCAGTTCCAAGGAGATGAAAATATGGGAAAGGAGGGGAGGCAGAGAAATAACTCTTTCAGTTCCAAAGAGATGAAAATATGAGAAAGGAGGGGAGGCAGAGAAATAACTCTTTCAGTTCCAAGGAATGCATTTGCTGTCATCTGCTACTGCTCAAAAATTCCAATCAGTTTTATTCTTCTTCTTCTTACATTTGGTCACAACCTGCTAAGAAAACCTGGCTTCTTCAATCGTAACTTCACTGTCTATTTGGCCTCTTCAAAAGCATATCACACCTAATTTTTTCAATAAAATCACATCAATCTCTTTCCTTAAGATCTCCTGACAAACATTCTGGTGCTAAAAGAAGAAAAATAAAATAACAAAAAATGGGATGGCCTCAGCCTTTGATGAGGGTATATGCATCAATAGAAGAAGAAGAAGAAGAAGAAGAAGAAGAAGAAGAAGAAGAAGAAGAAGAAGAAGAAGAAGAAGAAGAAGAAGAAGAAGAAGAGGAAGACGAATGTACTGACTGTTAATAAGATAGATAACTGTCTAGATGACTTGCCTATGTGACAGACTGAGAATGACACCAAGACTTCAATAAGAACAAGACATGCTCACACTCGTGCCTGTTCTGCACACACATGCACAAGCATACAAGAGGAAACAGAAAAACTATGATCCTCACATTAAAGAGAACTGTTTACCTTGAATAGCTTTGTCTGCTGACATTCCAATGAAGACAGCAAAATCATCGGCACCGATGGATGAGTAGGCAAGTCTGACCAGTCTGAGGGCTCGCTGACGGACAGTATCTGTTGGGAATCACCAAATGACCATAAGATTAATGGTCAAGACCACGGGCTAGTCAATAATCAATGAAAATGGTGCTGGTTCCACAACGGAGACTGGCTGAAATGTATCCACTGCTAATTATGGCAATATTAAGTGGTGAAGCTCCAATCCATTCAGATGCTGACTCTCTAATTTCAAGTACCTGGCGCAACTCTGGTGTGAAAAGGTCTTAGTCTCTCCTTTACCTTTTTCCACTCTCCCCCTGACTCTTTCTCACTCTCTTTCATGACTCTTTCTCACTCTCTCCCTGACTCTTTCTCACTCTCTCCCTGACTCTTTCTCACTCTCTCCCTGACTCTTTCTCACTCTCTCCCTGACTCTTTCTCACTCTCTCTCCCTGACTCTTTCTCACTCTCTCTCTCTGACTCTTTCTCACTCTCTCCCTCTGACTCTTTCTCACTCTCTCCCTGACTCTTTCTCACTCTCTCCCTCCCTCTTTCTCACTCTCTCCCTGACTCTTTCTCACTCTCCCCCTGACTCTTTCTCACTCTCTCCCTGACTCTTTCTCACTCTCTCCCTCACTCTTTCTCACTCTCTCCCTGACTCTTTCTCACTCTCTCCATGACTCTTTCCCACTCTCTCCCTGACTCTTTCTCACTCTCTCCCCGACTCTCATTTTTTCCCTGACTCTTTCTTACTCTCTCCCTGAGTCTTTCCCACTCTCTCCCTGACTCTTTCTCCCTTTCTAAAATAATCTTTTTCATTCTCTCCTTTACTCTTTCTCACTCTCTGACTCTTTGTGGCTCTTTCTCTCTCTCTCTCACTGGCTCTCTCTTACTCTCTTCCTTACTCCTTCAAAATTTCTCCCTTAATCTTACTCACATATTCTAATACATCACAGAACAGAAGGCAACAGATGGGCAGTACCTGCAACTGCTAACAAGATCTGCTTGACATCATCACTCCATTCCTTCTGTGAGGCTTCATAAATGCCAGCGTAATCCTTGAGCCACATTTTCTGTCCCACCAGCCATATGTTTGCCAGCTCTGGATTGCTCTGTCCATACAGAAAACAATTGCATCTAGATTAGTTGTATAGTCACTACTGTTGTGTTTTTTTTTTTTGCGTTTACCGGCTATAAACTCTAGTGGAAAGACCTGGTTGTTCATCTATTTCTGGACTCTGGGGCTTTGTTCCAGGACCTGAGTTTTGCATGTGCATCTGTTTTACAGATCTGACTTATTTGTATGCAGATTGCTGGTTCTTTGCCTCTCAGGCAGATGCACTCCGACTTCAAAGGAAGCCCTCAGTTAGTCGACTCTTACAACATGCTTTTTGGGGAGGCAGTGGGTTTATTCTTGTTTTCCCTATAATGGGGCCCCGGAACCCACACGGGGGAAATAGTCACTACTGATTTATATGGTCAATATGTAAGTGGACACTTCAGAGGGAGACAATCTACATTCTTTGGTCGTGACCTGAGAAGGAGAAAATTAGAGTACATCGTGACAGGGGGAAAGTTAGAGGGGAAAACAAGCAGATACAGACCAAAAGAGATGACGCTGGACAGTTTGACATCAGAGCATGGAAGATCATATGTGTCTGAAATGACTGAAAATAAACAGACAGAAAACTATGGATAGACATGATACCAACACCACACAGATTGGACTATAAGAAGAAGAGTTATGCTGTGACTGCTTTGCAAGCAGGTAACAGAAATGAAAATAATTATAATATGGCAGAATAAGCTGTGACAGTTTTTCATCACCATCTTCTGCGTTCATCTGAGGATGTAATTGTGCTGTGCCCATTGACAACATGGCTGTGATATGTGGGCCTTTCAGCAGACCCATCCGACTTCTTCAGGTATTTGCTGCGTGGATTAGCCTTCGAGGAGACAGATTTTAATGTGTAAGAAAATCTGCACAAAGTATGTTTGTATGTGTACATGTTTTACTCTTTGTGGATTAATATGTGTACTTGTATGCAGAAACAGCAGAGGGATAAGATCAGGTGACTTATGCAATTAACTGGGTGCTGCATTTCTAGAGCTGGAGTGTTGGTGCTGGCAATTCTGATGGCTGCATTATGCATTTGTATGCTGTTGGCTTTGCTGAGACTACAGTCTGTCAACTGTGTCCTCAAAGAAGAGTGATTACATTCTGTGTGGGTTTTAGTTTGCATAAGAATGGAGCAACTATGGGGTGACCCATTTGCTATGAAACTGGAACTGATCAGACGATCTTTGCCAACATCTTCAAAGTTACTCACCTAATGAATAAGTACATTATATGTGTAAATGTCTTAGATGAATGTTTATGAAAAACAGGTGAATATATTTTCACATAAAACTGATGCCATATCTCACGAGGAGGTGGTGGAGGAGACAACAGAGAAGGAACTGATGAACAACAAGTGCTGCAGGCCTTTGCTTCACAGGGATCCCAAGAATCTAAGTGATTATCCTTGTGCTGACAAAATGATATTGTGTTTACTCCAAGAAGTGAATAAAAGTAATATTATATGAGCACATGATTAAGTGGAAATCGAACACTTGCCTGTTTGATAGACTGAGGGATTCGTTTCCATAAGAATTTGGCACCGCACCTGAAAATATTCACGTAATATGTTCTTAACAACAGGGCCCCAGAACCCACACAGGGAAAACACAGGACATAAACACTGGCACACTAAGAACACATCATAGAAATACTGGCACATGACAACAAATGACATAAACATTGGCACATGACAAACACACCATAGAAACATTGGCACATGACAAACACATCACAAAAACATTGGTACATGACAACCACATTACAAAAGCACTGGCACATGACAAACACATCACAGAAACACTTGCATATGACAAAAACATTGACATATGACAACTTAACCAGCATATGCACAGGCTTCGTCTAAGTAGTTCACCTTTTTGCCCTTGTGGGCTATGTGTGCAGACTACAGAACATGTCCTGCAAGACTGTCCCTTGTTCAGCCCATTAAAAAAGGAATACTGGCCCAGTGAGTCATCACTGTACACAAAGTTGTATGGGACTAAAAATGAACTCATAAAAACAGTCAAGTTTATCACAAGAACCTGTCTGTCGGTGTAAATCAGAAAGCGAACACAAGAAGAAGAAGAAGAAGACATATGATAAACACATCACAAAACATTGGCACATGACAAATACATCACAGAAACACTGGCACATGACAAACACATCACAGAAACATTGGCACATCAACAACACATCACAAAAATATTGGCACATCAACAACACATCACAAAAACATTGGCACATCAACAACACATCAGAGAAACATTGGCACATCAACAACACATCACAAAAATATTGGCACACTATATACACACTGGTACAGGACAAATACATCATAGAAACACTGGCACATGATTAACACATTTCAGAAACATTGGCACATGACAAACACATTGAAGAAACACTGGCATGTGATAAATACATCATAAACAATAGCAGAAACAATAGAACTTGACAAACACATCACAAAATCACTGGCACATGAAGAACACATCACACACAACAAACACTGGCACATGACAAACATATAACAGAAACAGTGGCACATGATAAACACATGATAGAAACACTGCCACATGACAAACACATGAAAAAAACACTGGCACATGATAGAAACATTGACACATGACAAACACATGAGAGAAACACTGGCACAAGTCAAACACATGACAGAAACACTGGCACAGGTCAAAGACATGACAGAAACATTTACACATGACAAACACATAAGAGAATCATTGGCACATGACAAACACATGACAGAAACATTGGCACACGACATACACATAAGAGAATCATTGACACAGACAAACACATGATAGAAACACTGGCACATGATAGAAACATTGGCACATGACAAACACATGAGAGAAACACTGGCACAAGTCAAACACATGACAGAAACACTGGCACAGGTCAAAGACATGACAGAAACATTTACACATCACAAACACATAAGAGAATCATTGGCACATGACAAACACATGACAGAAACATTGGCACACGACATACACATAAGAGAATCATTGACACAGACAAACACATGATAGAAACATTGGCACATGATAGAAACATTGGCACATGACAAACACATGATAGAAACATTGGCACATGACAAACACATAAGAGAATCATTGGCACATGACAAACACATGATAAAAACATTGGCACATGACATCAACACTGGCAAGCACATGACAAATACATGACAGAAACCTTGGCACATGACATCAAGCACAGGATAAACACTGCGAACACTTACAAATCATTCTGTAGTAAATAAATGGCTAAAAGTTGGCTGTACATTTTAGGAGTGCAAGGACTTGCGCCATACTGAAAATATACACACAGCAAGTGACAATTTAAACTGACAATTTAAAGAAAGAAAGAAATGAACATCAAGCTACACAAAGATTCAGGACTGTGTTCACGCCTTGAAGCACTATCAGGGTGCCTTGAAGCACTATCAGGGTGCCTTGAAGCACTATCAGGGTGCCTTGAAGCACTATCAGGGTGCCTTGAAGCACTATCAGGGTGACTTGAAGCACTATCAGGGTGCCTTGAAGCACTATCAGGGTGCCTTGAAGCACTATCAGGCATGTAGTTGTAGCCTCAAACTGTTACAGACCAACTGTCGCTCGATAGGCAAAGTGGTAAACATCACACTGAACACAACCGCTTCTCAGGATGTTTTTGAATACCTTTAAGCTGGCCTACCTGCGAGCCAGAGTCAATTTTCTTAAAATTCATATTGATGCGAATTCTTCTTCTTCTTCTTTGCATTCACTGGCAGTAATCATCAGTTCTCGTTGTGCCTAGTGGCACATGAGGCTTCAGAGAGGACTTTCCATGCTTTCCTGTCCTGTGCAATCTTCAGTGCAGTTTTCCATGTCAAAGATGCCGCACTCAGGTCACTTTCCATCGTTCTCCTCCATGTTGTTTTTGGGTGCCCCTGTTTTCTCTTTCCCTCTGGTGTCCATGTGAGAGCTATTTTGGCAGGTAAATCAGGATTCATTCTCATAACATGGCCAAGCCATTTCCATCTTCTCTTGGTAATCATATTGTCTAAAGTTTCTTGGTTTGTCACTTGAAGTAGTTTAGTGTTTGAGATTGTATCCGGCCAGAAAATTTTGATAATTCTACGTAGACATGTGTGATGGAAGGTAGACAGCTTGTGTGCATCCTTTTTGGTCATTCTCCAGCATTCCGCTCCATAAAGAAGAATTGGCAAAATGATGCTCTTGTAGAGTCGGAGTTTAGTTCCTCTGCAGTAATTGTTGGATTTCCAGATTTGCCTCATCCTTCCAAAAGCAGCTCTACCTTTGTTCAGACGTGACTGTATGTTCTCTTCGGTCCCTCCCGGCAGGGACACCACACTGCCAAGATATGTGAAATCTTCTACATTTTCAAGAGTTTGGTTATTTATGATCACTGATTGTTGGTTTGGACTGCTTGTCATGATCTTAGTTTTCTTTATATTTATTCTCAGTCCCACCATTTCTGCTGTGCAGTTTAGTCTGTTACTTTTCTCTTGTATATGTTCATGTTTATGTGATAGGAGTGCTATATCATCTGCAAAATTAAGGTCCTCAAGCATGGTGAATGGAGTCCATAGTATGCCTCTCAATGTTCTGTCTACTGTGTTCTTTAGTATCCAATCAATCACAAGGTTGAAGAGTAAACTGCAGCTAAAAGTTTTGGTAGTTCATTCCTTTCTGGACTTTAGTTTTGTTTCAAAACCTGAGTTTTGTATGCACATCTGTTTTACAGATCTGGCTTATCTGTAGGCAAACCGTTGGTTCCTCACCTCTCAGGTAGATGCAATCTTTTTGAAGGAAACATTCATAACTGATCGACTTTTACAACATGCTTGCTAGGGGGGCAGTGGGTCTAAACCCCCCCCCCCCCCCTATAACTGGGTCCTGGAACCCACATGGGAGAAATAATTAATAAATAAATTATAATATAAAAATTATTATCTTCCTATTTACTGGCAGTGAACTCTGGTGGAAAAGTTTTGGTTGTTTGTCCACTTTGATCTTAATCCAGAACTTAAAGTTTTTGCATGCAGAAGGCAGATGTGTGCTGACTTTGAAAGATACACCCCTGAGTGGTCAACTGTTACCACATGCTTTCTAGGGGGCAGCAGGTCTATTCTTGCTCCCCAAATAAGGTCCCGGAAAGCATAAGGGGAATAACAAACTTTAAAAATGGAAATACTATAATTTTTACATTATTAATATCACACTACTAGACTAATATAAATACCATAATAATAGGTATTTTAATTCTTATTCACCCCAAACTAAGTAGTAGTAGTAGTACATTTTACCCCACTAGGACATCACACAAGCGATAAACACCTGATGACACAAAGTACCACCATGTGGATGAGGATCACCCGTGGAGAGGTCCCGTAAACCGCATTCAGCCATTAGGCCTTATTTATGGCCAGGCTATATTGCGGCCCCTGACAAGAGCCTGGGTAGGGCTTCAAAATAATGTATAATTTGCATCCCACAAGGGGATGGCTATCTGGCTATATAAATGACTAAAAAAGGAAATTCAGGAGTTTCTGGGAAAGTCCAATATGCCAGGTGTTATTGGTTAGGGTTACTAGGTGTTTCTAAGGCGATACTTCAACCTAGGGAACTTATCACAAACTTGGCTATAAGGTGAGAGTTCCTTCGCATCTCATTTATGCCGCGGCCGGTCCCACAGCCTCCCTATGTTGTGAGGGTGTCATGTACTCCTTATTTTCATGGTTTAACCATTCTCTCTTTTCTCTTGTTGTCACCGCTCGTGTGTGATTACTTCCAAGTTGTGCTACTTGCCTGATGGTTCGTGAACATCGAAACTGGGATGATTTTGTATTTCTAGGTTCCTTCTCAGTGGCTTTGGGGGAGGGGGGAGGGGGGGGGGCACTACCAAGGCATGCAGAAATACAAAAACATTCAGTTACAATACTCATGATCAGTCGCGCCTTCTGTGCTTCCCTCTGCAGTAATTCTTACTTGTGCACAGGCGCTTGACTCACAACACACAGCCTCCCACAAAGCAAGCGAACGCCAAACAAAGCAATCTCATAACACCCCCCCCCCCCCCCCCATAATGGGAGGGGAAGGAACTCATGCCGTGCGGGCAAGTTTGTGATAGGTTCCCAACCCACAATACCCTTAGAATATTGAACTTTCCTGGAAGTTCCCAGGTTTCCTTTGTTGGGGTGAATTAAAATTGAAGTATCTAAACCTAAACTAGTAATAATAATATAATTATTAAAGTGCCAGTGGCTAGCTAGTGTCGCTTTATTTTATAGTTTATTAGGTGCCAATTTTTAAGCTGTTGTGATATATTATCAATAACGGAATATAAAAAAAAATAGTTAAATAGTAATTACAAAGAAAACTGACCCACCAAAATGCAACATCAAAGTAAATGGGACAAACCTCAGGCACCTTATGTTTAAAAGTACTTGGGTACCCAGATAACAACAGATGGAAGATGTATTAAGTTAAATGTGAAATAGCTCAAGCAAAGATAGCATTTTACCAAATAAAGAATAGTTGGTTATCTTCCGAATAATGGTCCCAAATTATCGAGGCCGAAAATATACACTAACATGGCCTCAGTTACATGTAAACTGCGGACTTCCGCCACCGCTGAGAGTATCTAACACGCCGATACTCGAAGCGTGGAGCGGGGCTAAACTAGATGGCTGGGACTCACAAGCAAATAAAATTAAGGAAGCTGCAGGAGATGCGGTAACTGCTGCTCGTGAGTCCCAGCCATCTAGTATAGCCCCGCTCCACGCCGCACGTAGCAGCAAGGGAGGTGGCGGTAGCGGTAGACGCCGGAAGTGCGCAATTTAAGTCGCCGGAAGTCCACAATTGAAAGGTGACTGAGGCCATGTTAGGGTTTATTTTCGGCCTCGATAATTTGGGAGTTATTTGGAGGATAGCCGTGTAATGAAGACGTCTTAAAGAAACTAACTCACGTAGAGAACTGATTGCCCACATCAGAAAGAAGGCAATCAAAATTCTTTGGTCATGTGTTGAGAAAACTGGTTATATTGTGACAATAGGATAGTTAGAGGGGAGGGGAGGCAGATGGAAACAGAACAGTAGCTACTACAGTTTCGGAAATTAGCGATCTTTTCGACAATTTCCGTTACCATAGAAACCGTTTGAAACTTGTTTCGGAAATGTCGGCTGGGGTTTCGGGATGGGTCCTAATCTCTCATGAAATTTTGCCATTGGTGTGATTTTCACCCACTCTAAATAGCTGAAAACGGCGGGAAGGAACTCGATTAACAGCGCATGTCTACGACAGCCGGACTCCTCTGTTTTTCTGTTAGTCATCAGTTTGATTGAAAATAGCGGTAAATTCGAGGTTGGCTTTAGGCCTTAAACATTACCAGATGTGGTACTGCTAGTTACAGTTGAATTCTCCGTCCAATTTTACATTTGCATACATAAATTTCTTTCCCGTCTTTGGCTGTTTAGATTTACAGTGACATTTTTTAGGCAATCGCACGCGGCTGAGTCTCACTGCCTGCCATCTTGTCCAATGACAGGCCAATGTCAACAAAGCCGATACAGAACTGCGCAGTAGGTTGCGCAGACTGCGCAGAAAAAAACTTCTTGTTTCTGGGTCACAAGTTTTAGCGGCTGTTTCTTACATCTCATCTCCACAAAAACCTACATATCTCAGCTCAGAAATGACATACAAGCCTAAATGAGGTACCATTGGAAAGAGATTGTTTACAGCTATCTAGCTGTGCTGGTTTTATTGGTGTAGACAGCATTTTAAAAATTTGACTGAAGTACCTAAGAACAGTGCTGGACGGTCCTTTTGACAATTACAATTACTAATTACATCATGGCATAGAAGATCATCTGTGTCAAAGGTGATTAAAAGTATACGAGACATAAGGATATGGATATATCTGACTACCAACGCCACACGGCATGGACTTTAAGAAGAAAAACAGTTAAATAACCTCTAATTCCTGTCTTTCGATCTCATTTCCTAACTGAGCGAAGTCTCGTATCTGAGAAGCGGCCATCTTCTATCGAATTGTAAAGAAACGAAACAAATCTTTATTAAGGTTCATTATTAAATCTACTATTTATAAACAAAAAATAAACAAACAAAATACAGATTTCACATTATTTGTAATAAAATTTTAAAAATCATTACTAAATGTTAATATGTAATAATTTTGGCTATCTAACAGTCTCTCTAAGATGTTTGTTTCTGGGTCTAGCGAAGATTTTGACGTTGCCAGAGTCAACAAAGAGTAGACGAAAGACAGTGGATGATTTTGTCTTGGAGCAAATCGGACCAGCCTGTTTTTACTTTTCTCTCCAAGATCATGTCTGGCACCAATACTGCTGGTGATTGTCCACTCTTCTGCTAGTTCTTTCATAATTAAAATATTCAGTCTTTGATGTATGTTGTTTTAAATAAAGTCAGAATTGTGTATAATCGATGCCTTTCACCCCCCCCCCCCCCCCAGCACAAAGGTGCTAGAGTACAATGTACCGCACACGCCGAAAAATAAAATGTATTAAAAAGGCGCCAGGTATTGTAAAATTTAAAAAACGGCTCTCCTCCGAGCTTCTACCCTCGCATTATGGCGGCCTGAAATATCCGTTCAGGGCTCAGTCCAATGAAAAATGCGGACCTTCTGCCAAGGAACAAATCGCGGCAAAACAAGGATTTCTTGACAATTTCAAGAGACGCAATATTGCAGATGATAAAAGCGACCGGTGACAATGTCGAGCGTTTCTGCAGATGATACTGGCAGTCGATAATAGCGACTATTGACAATTTCGAGACATTACAGGCGATATGGCGGGTAGACCATGCACTCCCACGCAGATTAGCAATACTGTTCTTCCAATTGAGGATTTAGCAGCGGTAGATGTCAGACTTGTCAGCATGCGCAAAATGCGATTAAACTCACAGCCGAGCGTATCCCCCGCGGCGCCGATGGGGGGCTAAACTAGGTGCCTGGGACTCAGGAGCAAAGTAATTAGAGGAAGTTGCAGGAGATGCGGTAGCTGCTGCTTGTGAGTCCCAGCCATCTAGTTTAGCCCCCATTCGCGCCGGGCGTAGCGGTGAGCCAAGCCGATCCTAGATTTGCCGCGATTTGTTCGTCGGCAGAAAGTCCGACAAGTCCGCATTTTACATATTTGTTCCTCGGCAGAAAGTCCGACAATGGAAAGTGTTTAGGGTCGCTATTATCGTCGTCTGCTACTATCGTCTGCAGTGGTGCGTCTCTTAGAATTGTCAGCTAATCAGAAACAATAAGAAACAGGTCCGCAAGTAACATATCGCTGAGACCCTTTTAGAGCATTTGTCGTTATACGGAGCCGGCATATTTTTAAAAGAACTAAGCCCCGAACGGATATTTCAGGCCGCCAAAATGCGGGGGTAGAAGTTCGGAGGAGAGCCAAAAAACTGATGTCTCAAAGAAGGTGCCGGAACTGCATGCAGCCAGAAAAAGCCTTGTATTTATTACATTACTTGGCTATCCTCCGAATAACGCTCAAAAATTATCGAGGCGGAAAATATACCCTAACAGGGCCTTAGTCACATGTCAGTTGCGCACTTCCGGGGACTATAACGCCACCGCCGAATTGCGAAGTTCCAGCAACTTCCGCCACCGCCAAGAATGTCACGCAGCGTGGACTGGGGCTAAACTAGATGGGCAAGACTCACGAGCAAATAAAATGAAGGAAGCTGCAGGAGATGCGGTAGCTGCTACTCGTGAGTCCTAGCCATCTAGTTTAGCCCCAATCCTCGCGGCGTGGGGGACACTCGGCGGTGGCGAAAGTTCGCAATTCAGCGGAAGCGTGCATTTTAAGACAACGGAAGTGCGCAATGTCACGTGACTGAGGCCCTGTTAGGGTATATTTTCCACCTCGATAATTTAGGACCGTTATTCAGAGGATAGCCCATTACTTAGTTCTTCTAGTAAATTTTTTCATAATTTTTTGTGAAATTGCCACTTAGAGAAACTCAGACTAATTAGTATTATTACAACACTTATAGAATATATTTACTTCTAATTTCCTGGTACCCATAGTAAGTTTGATTGTCCTGGATGTCTAGGACAGTGTTTAAAAGTTGCCTACTGATCTTTTATCTCTACACAGTGACCAGAAAAAATTCTCCTGACAAACTACTCACCATTTCTCATATAGTAAAATATTTATTTCCCCCCATCAGCGCAGAAAGAAGAAACATGTGAAGTCTTGAAGGATGAAGAAGAGGAGTGCGAGGAGGAGGAACCTGTAGAAAACTCAGGGGAGGATGAAGAATATCTGCAAAAAGCCAAACAGGCAATCACCTGTCGCAGTGTTACCCTCAACACCTTAATGGAAGATGGAATCATTAGCCACGGCAAAGGGGTTTTGTCCATTGACTATTTGGTAAGTTCCATTGTTTGTTTGGTTATGTCTGCTTTAGTTTTTTTTTTTTCTGAGAAATTTTCAGTTCAGTCGATTACCTGGTAGTTGTTAGAATTAATTTATTGCTTGGTAATGTCTGTATCTGAACACATTTTATTAGATTATAGACTTGAAGCTGACCATCTGGGAATAGTCTATTTTGTAAATCAGGTACCAGGATTTGAAGCTGACCTTCCAGAAACAGTTTATTTTGTAAATCAGGGCAAGAGATTTGACACTAACCTTCTAGGTGTGTGTTATTTCGTAAATCAGTGCAAGAGATTTGATGCTAACTTTCTAGGTGTGTCTTATTTTGTAAATCAGGGCAGAGATTTGACACTAACCTTCTAGGTATGTGTTATTTCGTAAATCGGGGCAGAGATTTGACACTAACCTTCTAGGTATGTGTTATTTTGTAAATCAGGGCAAGAGATTTGACACTAACCTTCTAGGTATGTGTTATTTTGTAAATCAGGACCAGAGATTTGACACTAACCTTCTAGGTATGTGTTATTTTGTAAATCAGGACCAGAGATTTGACACTAACCTTCTAGGTATGTCTTATTTTGTAAATCAGGGCAAGAGATTTGATGCTGCCCTTCTAGGTATGTGTTAATTTGTAAATCAGGGCAGAGATTTGACACTAACCTTCTAGGTATGTGTTATTTCGTAAATCAGGGCAAGAGATTTGATGCTAACTTTCTAGGTATGTTTTATTTTGTAAATCAGGGCAAGAGATTTGATGCTAACCTTCTAGGTATGTGTTATTTTGTAAATCAGGGCAAGAGATTTGACACTAACCTTCTAGGTATGTCTTATTTTGTAAATCAGGGCAAGAGATTTGACACTAACCTTCTAGGTATGTCTTATTTTGTAAATCAGGGCAAGAGATTTGACACTAACCTTCTAGGTGTGTGTTATTTTGTAAATCAGGGCAAGAGATTTGATGCTGCCCTTCTAGGTATGTGTTAATTTGTAAATCAGGACCAGAGATTTGACACTAACCTTCTAGGTAAGTGTTAATTTGTAAATCAGGACCAGAGATTTGACACTAACCTTCTAGGTATGTGTTATTTTGTAAATCAGGGCAAGAGATTTGATGCTAACTTTCTAGGTATGTCTTATTTTGTAAATCAGGGCAAGAGATTTGACACTAACCTTCTAGGTATGGGTTATTTTGTAAATCAGGGCAAGAGATTTGACACTAACCTTCTAGGTATGTCTTATTTTGTAAATCAGGGCAAGAGATTTGATGCTAACTTTCTAGGTATGTCTTATTTTGTAAATCAGGGCAAGAGATTTGAGACTAACCTTCTAGGTATGGGTTATTTTGTAAATCAGGGCAAGAGATTTGATGCTAACTTTCTAGGTATGTTTTATTTTGTAAATCAGGGCAGATTTCTTTTTTTTTTTTTTGGGGGGGGGGGGGGGGGGGGGGGGGGGGGTGGTAAACAGACCTTGTAGTTAACATGTTATTTTGTAAATCAGTGATAGAGATTTTAAGCTAACTTTCTAGATACATGTTATTTTCTACATCAGGGCCAGAGATTTGAAGCTGACCTTCTGGAAACTGGAAAGATCAAGTGGCATGGATCTCAGGAAGAGTTCAACACCCCCAGTGCCTGGGCCCTGCACTGTAAGAGACTGGTGAACCCTATCAAGAGGTCTGGTTGTGGGTGGGCTTCGGTATGTAGTCAGGCTGTACATCTCGCATTAGTGTTATTTATAATGGTAAAGCCATGGTATAGCAAGATGCTTGTCTGAGTGTCTTGGGTTTTAATCTTACTTCTGCTTCTTCTTCTTAGCGTTCAACCAGTTGTAAACTTTGGCGGAAAGTTCTGGTTGTTCATCCACATCTGGACTTTAGTCTTTTTCTAGAAATTGAGTTTTGTGTGCACATTTATTTTACAGATCTGGCTTTTTGTTTTTGGCAGATTGTTGGTTCCTTGTCTCTCAGGCAGATGCACTCTGACTTTGAAGGAAGCCCTCAGTTAGTTGATTTTTACAACATGCTTGTTATGCATGAATTTTGACTATCCCCCCTACATCCCCCTCCCCTCACATTGGGGCATGAGAACCCACCTAGGGTAGTAAAAGGAGATCAAATGAATTGGTAGAGTATAAGATAAAGGGAGAGAGAAGGACAATAATAATAAGAAAGGGAGACAACAGGCAGATGAGAAGATGATTCTAGGTTCGTCCTTGCCTACATGGGGAGTGTAGTGATAGTAACGCTACAGAATAATGAGTGTCCACTATTTCAATAGGGGAGAGATGACGCACATACACACGCGCACACAGACATACAGGTGTCTGAAAAGAACATACCCTTTTCAAAAATAATATTCTCAGCACCCCTGATGTGATATATTAGAATCATTTATGTACTGAAAGTAAGGTGATATAGAAAAATTATAATTTGTCCCACAATATAAAGATTAAATATGTGCACCCTTCATGGCACAGCAGATATCTAGTTGATAGTCCATTTCCTCTCAAACTATATTGAACGTGTCTCTTTTAACGTCAGGGATTCAGTGAAATGATCTCGCAGCTTTATCAGATCTGTAGGCAATGGTGGGACATAGACTCTGTCTTTGACAAAGCACCCCCCCCCTCCCCCCCAAATCATGTGGTGTCATCTCTGGAGACCTCAGGGTACAAAGGGGTACACTATTTTTCAGACAACCTGTATAATGATATGTGCAGTTGCATTTTTTAAAAGATCATTCAGATCATTTTATTGTAGATGAATATCTTAGAAGCAATCACTGTGGCAGCATGTCACAAGTACTTTGGCAAACCTTTGTTCGTAAAAACCAACAACAATTGTTTTCCTGTGCTGTTTTCCTATGCTGTTTCAAGTTGCTTTAAGATGCTGTTTGTAGCTTGTCTTTCTCTGTCTCTCTCTCTCTCTCTCTCTCTTTCTCTCTCTCTCTCTCTCTTGCTGTCTGTCTCTCTGTATCTTCTGTCTATCTCTCTCTCTCTCTGCCTCCATCTCTTCCCTCTGTCTATCTTTGTCTCGCTCTATGTGTCTGTTTTTCTCTCTTTGCCTCTCAATCTCTCTCTCTTCACCTCTGTCTGTCTGTCTCTCACTGAATATTATCACCAGCTAAAACAAAAGGTGAAATATCAAGACTGTGTTACATGTAAAGTTACACATGTAAAGTTACCCACATGCACACATGTGCGCACGCACACAGACACACACACACAAATGTGCTTTAATAAAAACTAGAGAAAGAAATACCAAGGCTATATGTCACTGACGGTTATAAATCCCCTAGCAGCTTATTGAACACATGATATAGTCACTATATGTTGTTTATTATTATATTATACAGGTGAAATACAAGAGCAGAAAACTGGACATTTGGAAAAGCATGTGGGCAAGGAAGCACAGGACTGTCAATCCTTTTAAAGTAAGTATCATCTTCCTCTGTTGTGGCACCCTTGCTTTCTGCCTGATGAGTGTTACAATATCAGGGAGGCATGAGAATCACAGCCTATGGTATTTATTGAAGCTAAGGTTGTCCCCATTAGGACCTGCTTCTGTTGTAGGGTTTGTTCAGATCTCTGACCTCAGCCCTGTGTTAAGGTATCATCTTCATGGAGACTGTGTTGCAGAGCTCCCCTTACCTCTCTGCTTGTGTTTCTGATTGTGTGTGTGTCTATGGGTGTATGTGTGTGTGTGTCTACGTTTGTGTGTGTGTGTGTGTCTTTGTTATGTGTGTGTGTGTTTGTGTCTTTGTTGTGTGTGTTTGTGTCTATGTGTTTTTATGTCTGTATGTGTCTATGTGTGTGTGTTTGCCTGAGTATCCATGTGTGTGTATCTGCCCATGTGTATGTGTGTGAGTGTGTGTCTGTGCATATGTGTTGTGTGTGTATCTGCATGTGTGTATGTGGATGTCCATGTGTGTGTATGTTTATGTCTGTGAGCTTGTGTGTATCTGTATGTACATATGTATGTGTGTGTGTTTGTGTATGTGGGTGTGTAAGAGAGTGAATGGATGTGTGCGTGTGAGCATGCACGCGTGTTCATGCCTTTTACTACCCATGCTTTTGTGTTTTTTCTTGATATTCATAATTTGCATATTATTTTATGAACATAACATGTTTTATTAAAAACACACATCTGCTGTGTGGAAGATGGGTACTTGGAAGTGCCGAATGTAAGACAGGTCTGCGTATAAATAAGCCAGTACAATGGATGTACACACAAAATTTAAGCCCTGGCACAAAGTTAAAGTCCAGATGGACCAACAACCAGAACTTTCTATTGAGCTTACAGAGATTGAGCAAACAACAGAAAAAGAAGTCACAGAGTTTGACTGATTATTCCAGGCTTAGGGCTGAATCATATAACTTGATACACCAGTAATATAAACCAAAAACAAAAGACACTTAATTTTGTCATCGATTTGCTATCAGATCGCCTGAAGCTGGGATCGAACCCAGTACCCTGGCATTACAAAGCATGCTTGCAATGCCTAAGCCACAGATGCTGAGACTCGACATACTTTTATATATTAATTATGTTTTATTACAATCAGCCTCCGCAGGCAAGCAGCGCCAGCATACAACCAGCAGTTTCTGCAACTGCAATCTCTGTGGCTAACCTGACTTCATACAACAGCACGGCTACCAGCACTGTTGTCCCCTTGGAATCTGATACACATGCGCTGCTGGCAACATCTCCTGCAAAAGCTGGCACACACATCAAGCTGCCAAACAGTAGCAGTCTCCATGTTGAGAGTGATTCCTGTGTCGAGGCTCTTGCCTTACCATCCAAAAAACAATCACCTGTCACTTCCCCCCTGCCAACTGTTGCCTCTGGAAAAGTCATGGGTCTGTAAGTTTATTTTTTGTATCTTCCTGTAGAGAGTGTGGAGAACAGTTTTGTATCTTCCTGTAGAGGGTGTGGAGAACAGTTTTGTATCTTCCTGTAGAGGGTGTGGAGAACAGTTTTGTATCTTCCTGTAGAGAGTGTGGAGAACAGTTTTGTATCTACCTGTAGAGAGTGTGGAGAACAGTTTTGTATCTTCCTGTAGAGGGTGTGGAGAACAGTTTTATATCTTCCTGTAGAGGGTGTGGAGAACAGTTTTATATCTTCCTGTAGAGGGTGTGGAGAACAGTTTTGTATCTACCTGTAGAGAGTGTGGAGAAAAGTTTTATATCTTCCTGTAGAAAGTGTGGAGGAACAGTTTTGTATCTACCTGTAGAGAGTGTGGAGAACAGTTTTGTATCTTCCTGTAGAGAGTGTGGAGAACAGTTTTGTATCTTCCTGTAGAGAGTGTGGAGAACAGTTTTGTATCTTTCTGTAGAGAGTGTGGAGAACAGTTTTGTATCTTCCTGTAGAGAGTGTGGAGAACAGTTTTGTATCTTCCTGTAGAGAGTGTGGAGAACAGTTTTGTATCTTCCTGTAGAGAGTGTGGAGAACAGTTTTGTATCTTCCTGTAGAGAGTGTGGAGAACAGTTTTGGGCTCTACTGGCAAATCCGGACGAAGAATAAACAGCCTTGGACGACTTAGTCAGAGTTCTCTCCCTTGGCCGCACTCCAAACAGTGATCGGAAAACAAACGAAACAAACGACACACTTACCTGTCATCCTGCGGTTGCGTGTAGGGCTGCGTACGGTTGCGTGAGGCATTGTGAATGGTTGTGTAGTCATCATCATGCGGTTGTTGGATTAGAGTTAGGGGTAGGGTTAGGGGTAGGGGTAGGGTTAGGGTTAGGGGTAGGGGTAGGGTTAGATGTTAAAATTTTGTCGTAGGGTTTCGAAATAGTGGCAGACAATCTGATGTTTGTGGGCGTGGCGCCACTGAAATTCTGCTAAATATGACGCCATTAGTGTGCGGCTGGTGCCCAATCGTTGGCGAATAGTGCGTTTCACCATCATCCAGAGGCCCTCAATTGTTTGTGTGTGCATGTGACTGTGTACGGCGTCGACGAAGTTGGTCTGGTGGACTACTACCTCGTGCAGATAGATGCCATGCCGTAAGTTTGCCACGTTGCTGTAGCCTCGCCAAGCGTCAGTCACGATAGTCGTTCCCGGCAGTACGTGATCTGTTATGATCCTCTCCAATGTCGCCGCATCTTGTCTTGCACAAGCTCCAAGTAGCAACGGCCAGTCTCACGCTCTACTAGCCCTACGACCCAACGACCGTGACGGATGCGACCGCGCTGATACTTTCGTCAGAAGAAGTGCTCTCGTCTACTTCGACCACGATAGATCTGCCGGTCTCATCGAGTCCTCCCAGCTCCACGGTGTGTCTCAACATCCAATTATAGCATTCCTGACGGAAATAATTGTTGTAGTTGACAATGGTGTGCCAGTTCGTGAGTCTCTCGAAGACCATGACAGTCGCTGAACTTACGCCGGAGAGCCAGTAGTACATCATCATGAGTATTTTCTCGGTCGACATGTCGCTGTTGGCGAAAAACGACCCAGTGCGAACACTACACCTAGTATTACAGCGATAACATCGCCAACCCTATCTGTCGCTACAGTCTTGCCGGGGACATAGGAACATTGGCCGCGTGCACGAGGTACACGGTTGCGTGTTCCTTATCAGACTATGCTCAGCTAGCCACCGCAACCACGCATACTTATCTGTCATTATGCCATACAGGTCTGCAGGAGTTACGTCCGTGGCAACTAAGTCGTGCGTCGGAAGAACGATGTTAGTTATGTGAGTGCGTCTAACTGCCATGTTGATTGCTTGTGTCGTTTGTTTCGTTGTGGCTTTTCCGATCACTGTTTGGAGTGCCGCCACGGGAGAGAACTCTGACTAAGTCATCCAAGGCTGTTTATTCTTCGTCCGGATTTGCCAGTAGAGCCCAGTTTTGTATCTTCCTGTAGAGGGTGTGGAGAACAGTTTTGTATCTACCTGTAGAGGGTGTGGAGAATAGTTTTATATCTTCCTGTAGAGAGTGTGGAGAACAGTTTTGTATCTTCCTGTAGAGGGTGTGGAGAACAGTTTTATATCTTCCTGTAGAGAGTGTGGAGAAAAGTTTTGTATCTACCTGTAGAGAGTGTGGAGAACAGTTTTGTATCTTCCCGTAGAGAGTGTGGAGAACAGTTTTGTATCTACCTGTAGAGAGTGTGGAGAACAGTTTTGTATCTACCTGTAGAGAGTGTGGAGAACAGTTTTGTATCTTCCTGTAGAGAGTGTGGAGAACAGTTTTGTATCTTCCTGTAGAGAGTGTGGAGAACAGTTTTGTATCTTCCTGTAGAGGGTGTGGAGAACAGTTTTGTATCTTCCTGTAGAGAGTGTGGAGAACAGTTTTGTATCTTCCTGTAGAGAGTGTGGAGAACAGTTTTGTATCTTCCTGTAGAGGGTGTGGAGAACAGTTTTGTATCTACCTGTAGAGGGTGTGGAGAACAGTTTTGTATCTTTCCGTAGAGAGTGTGGAGAACAGTTTTTTAAATGCTTACCTGTGAGTTTCAGGATCCCATTTTGTTTTTAAAATGAATAAATGCGGTAGCGGCCTGGATCACATTTGGGGGGGGGGGGTGGTTGGGTCGGTCTAGAGAGGGGTGGTAGAAACCTCAGGTGTAGCTGGGAAGCACTGAATGAAAATAAGACAGCAGTAAAGAGAGAAAGAGAGAATATTTGGTCAAACTATTCATACCTTTCTCCATGTAGTGAGAGTAACATATCAGAATCGCAGTGATTTCTTAATTTTCCAGATAAATAAACAAAGAGATTATGTTATAACTTATCAGGTTCTCATTAACATGTTATTCTTTACTTCTGTTGTAGTATTCCCAAACTTCGACACTGTGTGGAAAGATGGCATGAGCTGAAACTAATACAAGCAGCAGTTAGTAAAAAAAAAATTATTTTTGAATAAAGAGACTTTTTGCACTAGCGATTTGACAGAATTTAAATAGATGGAGCCCCTTGGATTTTGTAGGCAGCACAAATCCCTTATTTAGTATGAAGAGTTTAAGAGGCCCCCAAACCATCTGTTTGAGCATATATTTTAAGAAGAAAAGTATCCAGAAAAAGCCATTTTGCAAGAGAAACTTTGACTCAACATGCAGATAATTATGATGATGTGTGAGGCTCTCGCACCAAAACCTCAGATTAACTGTCCATTTTTATCTAATAAAGTTCTGGAAGTCCCAGGAATAATCTACACCCAAAAAAAACACAGTCAAAGCTAAGGAACTATTTCAGTTTATATACTCAGAAATCAGTAGCCCTCAGAATGTTGACATGTATGTTCACAGAGGGTTTGGTAAAGAAGTCACTAAATAGTAAGTGTGAGGATCTACATTACACACCATTATTGTAACACAGAGACACACTCAGTGTTGGCATGGGAAGCTGGTACCAACATCAGAACAGACAGCAATCCTCCTTTGAACTGAACAGACTCCCAATACTCCAATTTAACTAAACAAAGTGCTGCCATGTTTACATACGTAAAAT